TTGCAATACCGTTTTGCGTCTGCGCAGTGCGTATAGGCACAATGCCAAAACTATCAGATCTCAACCGCTCGCCGAGCTGTCGGGCTCGTTGGGAGATCTGGGAACCTTATTACCGCTCATGACTGCACTTGTGCTTACAAACTCTATTTCTTTACCGTCGACGTTGCTCTTCACGGGTGCGGCAAATGTCTTGACTGGTATCGCCTTCGGAATCCCTCTACCAGTCCAACCTATGAAAGCTGTCGCGGCAGTTGCCATCGCACGCAAGTTCACCTTGGAAGAGAATGCTGCAGCTGGGCTTGTTGTTGCGGCACTAGTAGGACTCTTCAGCGTAACAGGATTGATCGAGTGGGCAAATCGCGTTACGCCTGTTCCAGTTGTCAAGGGCACTCAAGTCGGAGCCGGGCTTTCGCTTTGTTTGAGTGCTGGGTCAAAGATGCTTCTGCCGCTGACGTGGACGGGGCCCTGGTGGGGCGACAACCTACTTTGGGCCATCGCGGCTGCTCTGCTACTGTTGTGCACGTTCGCCTTCCCTCGCATGCCATACGCTTTGATTGTATTCACAGTGGGCATCATCTTATCCTTTGCATCGCCATCCACTGCTCATGACCCAGTGCTACATGATGCTATTCCTGTGCTTCATCCTTCTGGAAGCGACTTCCTCAAAGCAACGACAACAGCATCTCTAGGCCAACTCCCGCTCACATTGCTCAACTCGGTCATCGCAGCCTCAGCGTTGGCCTCTGATCTTCTTCCCTCTCCGCCCCACCCAACTGCCCCGACAGTTACCGATCTTGGTATCTCGGTTGCCGCTATCAACTTGGTAGGCTGCTGGTTTGGAGCCATGCCTGCCTGTCATGGTTCAGGCGGACTTGCAGGCCAATACCGATTTGGTGCTCGCAGCGGGTCCAGTATCATCTTCTTGGGATCCATCAAGTTCCTACTTGGCCTCATGGCATTCTGGAACTCCTCCGCTATCGTCGATGTGTTGGGAAACATTCCAAAGTCACTCCTCGGTGTTCTCGTTCTCGCTGCAGGTATCGAACTCGCCAAAGTAGGCGAGAGTATTAATACTGATGCTCGCGACCTGCGTGTCCTGGATAGAGAACATGCTTGGGATGGGAAGAGAGTGAAGGAGTTGGATGAAAGACAGAAGAGGGAGCGATGGATGGTCATGCTGGTTACTGTTGCCGTGATTCTCACGTTCAAGAATGATGGAGTAGGCTTCATTGCGGGATTGGTCTGGCACTGGGGCTATGAAGCTGCGGGGCGCATCGAGGAGTGGAGAGACGAACGGGCTGAGAGGTCGACGTGGAGGACTGCGGTACATGGTAGAGAAGAGACAGCTGGGTTGTTGGCGCACGAGGAAAGTGATACCCTTGCTTGACCTACGACCGATTTGGCTTCTTGATCGATCAATTGCATAGCGAGGCGCTTGGTTAGATGAACTGGTTGCATTAATACTCGACGAGCAGCGTGCATGGCGCTACTATCAATTCCGTAGTATGATTTGAGAGCAAATAAACATATATTTGTACCTTGCTTGCCGATTTGCAGCTCGTCCACTTTGGCTGGATGCATAAGTGGGGCAACGTGGGGACGTGAAAGAGATGATGACACGAAACGTCACGCTAGTCCCCGCGTCGCGTCAGTCGCGTCGCCACCATTTTGGTAACTACGTAGGTAGAATTCCGTCGACTTATCGATTGATCCGTCCCATATACCAAACATGACGCCGCGCACGCGCTCTGGCAACGGCGAAGCCGAACCCAAAGTCTACTATTCGAAGAAAGTGCCGCAGCAAGTACACTTTCCGCACAAACGCAAGACGGTGCGCCGACGCACCTCGCCAGTTCAAGATGGGTCAGGGAAGCGCCAACTGGTCTTTGTGCCGGAGAAGATGAAGAAGCAAGGTACACCAAGAGTGGTTGGGGACTCGGATGAGGAAAGCGAAGGGGGTCTGAAAGACGGGGATGTGTCAATTTCCCCCCAGGCAGACAAGGAACACAGCAAGACGAGAAAAAGGAAGAAGACGGGCAGAAATTGCGACAGTGAACCTTTGCAAGAAGATGGTAGTGAAAAGGATGAACCCGTTGGACCTGTGAAGAAGCGCCAACGGAAAGCCGCTGCCCCGAAGAACAATCGGCGCTCGAGGCGTGTCCAACCCGACTCCAACGATGACAACGACGGATCGACCAAGCCTGATAGAGAACGTACGCTGAGAAGGCAGTCAACTATGACACAACTGGTAGAAGGACGGAAACCATTACCAGGCTCCGAGGGCCCCGACTTTAGGCCTGTAAAGCAGGGGCCGCGTCTGAGCTGGAGTGGGAAAGGCAAAGCAACTAAGGATGGGAAACAGCGGACGTTGACCCAAATGGTGTCTGGCATGCGTCCACTGGAGATCATGTCAGATGAGGATGTGGAGGATACGCTGAGCGATGTTGAGGCCCAGGAGGCGGATAGCCATAATTATCGAGATGCGGTAGCGCGGCGGCTGGCGCAACAAGGGCTCTATCGGAATGATCACGGCGACGATGAAGAAGCTGGAGAGAACATGCAACCTGGTGTGGAAACGGAAGCCCAGGAGAATGAAGAAGTAGCAGACGCACAAGACGTACCTGAACTTGTAGTGCAGTCAGTCGAAGATGATACGAACGGAGAAGGTGAAGACAGCTACAAGCCAACCCAATTCATCGATGCTCCCATTACAACAGTAACACACCGGACAACGCGAGAAAGGGCGGTGGTACCAACCGTAAAGATCAGAGAAGCATCACATGTACAACAGAAGGCTGTCAGCTTCCGCAAAGCCCGATTCAGTCTTCTTTCTACCCCAGAGAAGCGACGTGTCCGTGAGATACCATCGTCTCAATCGCCGGCTGACTCACCGCTATCAACACAATTTACGCCTCACAGGTTGCATCGGTCGCCACTGAAGAGATGTACAGGAAATGAGATCCAAGCACCAGAGACGCCGTCGAAACGTAAACAAGTCACTTTCAGGGTGCCATCCAAGACTCCTGTGCCGCCTCCTAGTCTGAGGAAATTTGAAAGCACAATCCAAGACTCCGAGGATGAAGATGAGGGGATTTTTGAGGATGATGCGTCATCAAGCGGGCGTTGTGTCGGTACTGAAACGCAGGCAATGATCGATCAGATCGATCAAGCTTGTGCTGATGCAGTTGAGGAGAGTGAGGCTGAGGCTGGCCTATCGCCGGAACTGGATGAGGTATCTTTGCTGAGGAGTCTTAATGAGGCTTCCCCTGAACTTGGAGAGCCACAGACACAGTCGAGTGGCCGACAGCAGCGGACTGTCCCAGATGAAGATTCACACCCTCATGCTGAGTTGATCAGCATCAAGCAAGAGCCTGTTGAAGATGTAGAGGTAGACGACCTAACAGCGTTACATGCTGCCCGATCGCAACCACCACACAAGGGATCCATGGAAAGTTCTGCTACCATTGCTGCAGAAGCAGAGCTACCCACCTTTACGGAACAGCTTCACTCCACGCCGCCAATCGTCCAAGACACATGCCCATCAACACCCATGGCAATTCCCGAAGATTCCTCAGACGAAGAATCCACACCCCAGCCAAGAAAACAACCCATCCAGTACCCCCCGCCAACCCAGGTTCAACAATCCACAGATCTCGACGGCGAACTAATTCAAGTCCCGCGGTCCCCAACTCCTCGACGCTCCGAGACACAGGAATCCCAGACCAGCAAAGCAGAACAGCAAATCCAAAGCGAATGGTTCTCATACTCGCAATATGTACACAATGCTCGACCCCCTCAATCCTTCAGCATGCAAGCCGCACCCGACGCGTTCAGCTACAACGCAACACCGCGACCTCCACCCACCACTGCCTTGAACCCGCACCAAAACCAACACGCTCACCGACACACAGCCACTACCACCCACGCCGCCAGCCAAGCCACCACAATTGACGAAATCACCCAGCGCACACCACGAAAGAACAACACAACCCAACATGTCTTAAGCACACACACAACACCACACCGCATCGCCAGCTCCCAACCCACCATTTCACCTATCAGACCTCCGCCGCTGTTCATACCGAGTAGTTTCCCCAGTCCAGAAAGAGCAGGCGTCGAGGGCTGGAGTAGTCCTGTGCTGGGGGGTGCGACACAGGGTGCAGGCGGTGGCGGGTATGGTAGGAGTAGTCAGTGGGGAGCGAGTTTGGAGGATTTTAGTATTCCGCTGCCGCCGCCGATGCCGTTGGTAGGGAGTAGTTGGGGTAGGGGCAACGGCAAGGTAAAGAAGGGGACGCGGAGGGGGAGGGGTTGTCATGGGGATGGGTGTGGTCAGCCGGGGTGTGAGAGTTGTACGTTTGATGTGGATGACCTGCCGGTGGTGGGAAGGAGTGGGAGTATTGGGGTTAGGGGCAATGGCAAGGGCAAGGGCAAGGCGAGGGGGAGAAGGAGAGGTTGTGATGGGGACGGGTGTGGTCAGCCGGGGTGTGACAGCTGTGCGTTCTATTAGGAATGATTTGTAGTACGCGGTATAGTAACAGTGAAGTAGTTTTATCAGCTTTCATGAATACATTCTCTATGTAATCTAAATACACTTACTGTCCTACCCTATCCCATTCTACAACTCTACACCATTAACCCTAGCCAACCTCCCCAGATTCAAAGCTAAATCATTAGTACAGCATCTAGCGGAAGATTAAGTCTCAAAACCAGAAAACGAGTTGCCCATGGCGCACCGTCACTGTTTTGGAAATATCAAAAGAATACATATGTATCCTTGCTTGTTTCTGTAGGTAGAGAAACACATCGGGCAGCCGGACTTGACGTCGGTGACGACTTCAAGTCCGGCTGCAAAGCCCGATATATATCTAGAAGAGAATAGAGTAAGGTAATGGGGTGTTGGTAGATGGGGATGTGAGGGAGCTTGTATGTAGAGTGCGGAGTTTTGATGGTTCGGCTAAGCGGGGTGGGGAGATGGGTGACTAAGCAGATAGATGCGCGCTAGCTGGAATGGGAGGGATAGGATAGGTTGGGATGACAGTGTCCAACTGCTCATAAGAAGAAGAGTTTCAGATTATGATTATGAGATTAGGACTGTTAAACTCTCTCTCTATCTATCTACTGATTAGGCACCCATTACAATAAGTCCACCCTCACAATCCACTGTCCCACTACGCCTTCCCTACCCCATCACACACATACCTAAATCCCCGTATTAACAATCGAATACGTAAATCCATTCTCCTTGATCACCAGCGCCTCCCCCGGCTGCTCTACATCACCCTCATCGCAATCCGTCCAAACCCCCTTAAACAGCGTCGCCGCCGAATACGCCGACAGATACCCCTTCTGCCCCTTACTAACACTGAACCCCTCCTGGATACTTGTCGTCGTACTCTCCGTATACTCCATACCAAACGTAGTCTCGATGCTAAACAAGCCTTCGATGCCGCCGCCCGCGGTCAGCGAATAAGAGGTGGTGACAGATTTTTCCTCTTCGGAGCCGACGGTGATGGGACACCCGTCTTCGGTACCGTTGGTGCAGTCGACTATGTTGGAGATTTGGACACTTTCCGTGGTGGATGGCTGGGTGGATTCGACGCGGAAGCCACCGCATTTGGGTGTGCGCTTGGTTAGGTGGGAGGACGCGGGGAGGGCGCGGCGCGAGACGCCGCTGCCGCCGTGGGGGAAGGCGGAGAAGCTGCGGGCGGGACCGCCGATGTTGAATTCGACGCAGTTGCCATTATCTGTGTAGGGTAATTTAGTTGGGTGTTCGCAGGACGAGTGTCACGACATACCGATCATCGTGGCAAAGGTAGCACCGTTGGGAGTGCATGTCTTGTCATCCCTTGTGAAGACCATTTGCATCTGATCGAACGGACTGTCTTCGACTTTGGCCCAGAAGGGCGTTTCGGAAGGAAGCTCGATTGGGTTGCAACTGTAGTCACCTGGCTGGCCGTTGGCGACGTTATCGAACGTGTAGAGACACAGGCCATACATCCTATTGATGCAGTCTCTGTCGGAGTAGAAGCCCAGGTCTCCAAAGTAAACCTGTCCATCTTCGGTTGTGGGCCCGCAGTTTTCGGGTCCGGAGGTATCCTGGCGTTGCATGAGGGGGCTACGCATGGAAGGAGCGGCGGAAGCGAGGGTGGTGAGCACCGCGAGGCTGCTCAGGAATGCATGGGATGGCATGATGGATAGGAGGGTGACAATTGGTGTCTGAGGGGCGGCAGAGAGTGAATGAGTGACTTGAGAAATGGATTGAATGATGAAGAATAGATCAATGGGGTATATATGGGTATATATGGTATTCTGTACCTTCAATCTTTTGGTACGGATACCGTTGTTCCCGTTGATATGTTGAGACTTGCGGGTGCAAAGGGAGTCCTAGCTCGTGCATTCACACCACCATAGATACACTAAGTTCGAGAGATGGGGTACTGCAAGGCTTACATTACAAAAATGTATGGTTGCAAAAGAAGAGGAAAATAGCTTGTTTGTTCTAGCGGGGTCGTTCAGTGATAGCCCTCGAGGTTGCTGAGATTCGTGTTCTACGACTCTTCTATTGGATCTCTAAATGCATATGAGAGTTAAGAGATAGAGTGATGAGGTCGTGGTCGATGTCTCCCCTCATTCATTGGCTTCAGTTTCCTCCATGGCTTCAAGAGCTTGTCCGAGGTTATTCTCAAGTTTGCTTTTGCAATGCAAAAAGTTTTAATACTCTGCATGCATATATCGGCCGATTTCCACTAGTTATGATAAAGATGGTGTTTGTAGGGTCGGAGAGTTTACTGCCAACATTTTTCACATAGGACGATCAAGGCAGTTCGACCCGATACCAAGCTTCATTAACGGTATGGGAGAACTTGAGTCGGGCAAGTTCAGCCCTTAGGAAGCGGATCAGAATCTATCCGAAAGCTAGTGTACCGTTCGAGGTTCAAAAGAACAACAGTCAAGTGGTTTGACAGCACCGGTGCAGCAAAGTACTCCACCATAACCCCGGGTGATTGCTTATACTCGACACGCTATAGCTGCTATGTCGATCAAACTGCTATCGTGAAGTATAATCAGGCCATTTTCAATGCATTTCTAGCCCCGCGCAAACACGCATGCCGCCGGTTGCACGAGCGTGCAGCAGGAAATAGGTACCGTGTTCAATGTTAATCCAGTATTTCCATATGACACACCTACTGGGTTGGACCATTTTGAACGCTACATCCATCTATGGGGAGTAGGAAGTGCCCAACGACGTGCGTGGGGTATGCTGATGCGTCTCGTGGAGTAGGCGAACCGGCAGTGACACTTTTGACGTTCTTCTGGTCAAAGCGAACATAAGTTCAGCATGAGGTCCCAGCATCGCAGTCGTTAGTATAGGAAACTCCACATAATAGGCGTTCAGCAGCCCTCGCAGTCCCGACACTACTTGAGACACCAAAAAGCAAACAGCGCCCGCGCACCTTGATCGCGGCTGAAGTTGCCGATCTGCACAGTAGATAAGTGTCTTTCGGGTCGGAAACATGATGGCTTTATCTTTTCGATAGTTTTGGGATTCATGGTCAGTATGCGTCTCCTTAGGTCACTTATTTTCTTGCTCTTTCACATTGGAAGGGCTGGTCACACAGCTTGATAGGGCTGATACTCATTATTTGATGTTCCAATATATGAATCGTCCTCGTCCTTCGGCCCTCGGGCTGTGTCGTTAAGAAGCGGCCAAAATTTCTATCAAGCACCGACGCAATCACGCACATACCTTTGTAAACCCGGGAGGGTCCACCCTGGTGCAGCTCCCGGACCATCGCTCCTGCCTCACCAGCATTGCGAGTTGATCCTCTAATGCAACCAGGCTCCAGATTTGATAGAAATAAGATGGCCAGCCATGTTCGCCATCTCATGCAACTACCGTCGGTTTCACCCCAGCCACATCAGCTTCAGCCACTATCAATGGTCCCGGAGAGGGAACCGGCACTAAAGGTACAGCGTGTAAACCAACCCCCTCATATGTACCCAAGACTTGGCAATCGACGGCGCGCGATATGCCGCAATCATAGTGCATCCCGAGTAACCACCTCTATCTAAATCGGGGATCTAGCTCAACACATTCGATCATGTGATGACGCGTGAGCCAGACTAACCCAGTGACTAAATACGGAAGGCTCCCTGTTGGACAGCGAAACATCTGATTCCAGACCTACACAGCGGGGGTATGACGTTGTTAGTTCTCCAACCTCTTTGGTGTAGCGCTACGTAATCAAGGTGCATGTGTGCACCCGAGCATGCTGGGGCAACAAAGTGGAGTAAAAGCAGGATTTCGTTCATATTCCAATCACCTAGGACTTCTCGGTATATGTTTCTTGACATATTCATTGTACAAACCACTTCCGGTTCACTTCGCAACTCACTCTACACAACCTTCCGGATATAGCAGCCGCCATGAGGACTACCACCTTTCTCCAAGCAACGCTCTTCGCTCTCTCCTCATTAGCACAAGACGACAGTCCCAGTCTGCCAACGATCGGTACCCTGAAACCAGGCATCGGAAACACGCCAGAAGCACTCCAAGTGAGCGAGAATGTCGGCCGGTATCCGGATGATACAGAATTGGTTACTTTTTCACGCACGTACAATGGCACACAAGAGGAATGGTCATGGCGGATCAACGTTACCAACGTCCCTGTGCCGAACGAAATCAACCAACTGGGTATGAAGGGGGCGGATTCGTCCGAAGGTCACCAAGTCGTCAATGTGCAGTGGCAGTTGGGATGGCCTAACGACAAGAACACCAGTTTGCAGCAGTACCTTGTCGAGAAGAATATGAAGGCATCGTTCGGCGCTATGATATCGAACAAACCCATCAACATTACGAAGAAGTACGAAAACGACGACAATGGGGATTGCATGCCCCTGCTGGGTGAACAGTGTGTACAGTCGCTCACAGAGTCTGCGTCAAAAGGCGATGATATTCAATTCCAAGGGCTTGAGGGCTGCGCAGATTCCCTAGAACTCCAAGGCGACGGTGAAGTGCAGAGCGGTACCTCATGGGGTTAGACACTTCCATTCGCCCTAAAAGCTTGCATTAGCTAACAACGCATGTAGTCATTGACCCCGCAGGCCATATGTATTCGAACAGCTCCGACACCAGCACGTTGTTGTATCACAACGACACTTTGCTCTATCGGACCTCAGACATCGCGCCAAACTCGACTCAACATGCTCAAGCTCTGAGGGCCGTACAGATCTTTGTCATGGGTTTCAAGTATGCAGATGGATTACCAGATGGTACGAGTAACGCTACTGTGTTGTGCCGGATCGTAAACCGGTCCACTTATGGCGCACTGGAGACACCTCCGAGGAGTGACGCCATTACGACCTTGCGTCTGTCTATGGGTATAGTCTGGGGTAGCGTCATTCTGAGCACTTTGGTTTCCATGTGGCAATAATGAGTGCGTATTAGATGCTTCTTTCCTATCCATCTTACCGACAATGTTTAATGGAGCGTTCAAAGCGTTCGCTTCTCTAGAATACCATGGCCCCACCGTCAGCAATAATATCTGTTCCGTTGATGTATCGTCCTGCATTGCTACACAACAACACCAGTGGCCCAGTAAGCTCCCATGGATGACCCATGCGTCCCATCGGGTTCCTATCGTTCCAGCTCTTGCGCGCTCTTATCAAGCCGTCGCCATCGTTGAGTATCGTGTCCATGTACCCTGGACTCAGGCAGTTAACCCGAATACCATAACTACTCCACTCTGCCGCCAAGCTCTTCGCCAAAGACAACAACGCTGTCTTGGAAGAGTTATACGCGCATTGTGGCTGTGGGTAGTTTGTGTGGTGCGCGGATATACTGGCTGTGAATGTAATGCTTCCACCACTCCCCTGAGCGCGCAGCTGCTTAGCAACAGCTTGCGCGCAAAGGAAGGAACCTGTAAGGTTGATATCGTGTGTGCGTCGCCATTCATCGGCCGCCATCTCGATGGCGTGTGTACAGCCCACAACCCCCGCGAAACAGCAGAGCATCTCTACGCTGCCGAGGACCTTCACCGTGCTCTCTAATGCCGACGCAATCGCGTTCTCATCGCGGACGTCGACGGCTTCGGTGATTATACGTGCGTGCGGGAACTTGGAGTGTAGCGTCTTGACACTCTCAAAGGCTTGGTCAGGGTTCATGTCCCACAAAGCGAGACCGGTGGCACCGTGCTCGAGTAGGGCTTGGGCAGCTTCGAGTGCAAGTGTACCTGCACCGCCAGTGACTATATTCACTCCATTAGCTACATAGCTAGCGATGGATTGCATGCGACAGTAGGAGTGAGGCTTGTACCCTGTGCAGGCGTTCACGTACTGATCGCATTGCCCTTGACCTCGAACCTATACTGAGCTCTCTGTGCCGCAGAAAGGTCCTCTGGAGGAGGTCGGGGCGCAGTGAGGGGATTCTCTGCTGTCGACAGTGTCATTTCTGGCAACTGTCTGTTGACGAGCGCAGCGCGTTCATCTGCTTTGTCCGTCATTGTAGGCTAGGATGAAGGGTTATTGCTGTTTTGGTAGTAAGTTTAGCACGTATAGCCAAAAACCTCAACGTCTTTCCGATATGGAGCAATGCTTTTTAATCCATGATTTCGGACCACAGACGTCCGTGGTCACAGAAGCTTGGTGGAGCTCGTGGAGCTTGAGCATCACACGATGATACGCGACTTACCCCGCCCCCACCAGGTGTACTTTCACCCCTGTGGAGTTAGGGAAGGTTGGCCGAGCTCACATCCCCACGCCCTCATCATACTATATTCTCGTTGTTGGGTGACTACTATTATCGTAGCATACACACCTGTTTAGCTGATTAACCCCTCTTAAAAGCGCTTTTTGTTACTTTTTGGATAATGTGAGGACGTGTCTCCATCTTGACCTTTGGCAACATGCATGCCTGATACGTCGTCGATGAGAATGCATGTATTTTCTTAGTTCTACTCATTTCATATAGACTGAGTGGGATACAATAGATTTACCTCGCGAGGGTGAACCAATTCACTTCGCACTTCACCGGTTGGGCTCGATCTCAATGTCTGTTGCGAACCCAGCACGCCATGGACTATCACCACACCGCAGCAATTGCTGAATGACTACAGTGAATATCGGTTCCCAGAGCACATGAACCCTCGCTATTTGTCCTTCAAGTCCATTTGAGCCCCTGACTCTACCTGGATCAATCACAATTCCAGCAATGAAAGATGCAACTGAAGCGACACCACCGACCCTCCACCAAATGACCTCTTAAAAGCTATGCGTTCGAGTCGAGAGATCGCTATCATCGAACAGGGAGGTTGGAAGCACGAGCTGCGTTCCAAAAATAACACGCTTTCTACACCTATCTCATTGAGCGTATGTGGCCTAATGATTCCACCGGCGACACCTGCGGAAAATCGATCTGTACATGGAAATTGAAAGCGACACGAATACGAAAACAGCTGGAGTGAGGATGATGACGACAAAGACAAGGCCATGAAAGTTGAATCCGGAGCGTTGGGCACTTACCACCAAGGGTCGCCATCATGGGTCAATTGGAGAACGACCGGGTACATGGAACTTATGTGGACAGTCAGCTCCAGACTTCGCCACGAAGATCATGCTCTGCGTTCTTCTCGCCGTCTTGATCAACAGTGTGTGGATGCATAGAAAGGAGTCGCAAAGGCGGGCCACCTGCCATCACTGTCCACTCTGTGACGCATCGGGTATCTGATGGACGAAGCTAGTCAGAGAAAGGTTACGTGTTGCGTGGGGACATGAGGGTCTAGGGATATTAGGATCTTCGGCTTAGACATATGAACCTTCGATGTTGTGGATGTATTAGTATGCAAAGAAAATCTACAGTCCTTTCCTCTCGACCTACGTGCATGCTTCAATCATCGCTGTGCTCGCTTCTATCTAGTTCCAAAATAAAATTCGCACAATGGTATCCCGTATCCAGAAACGCCCGCAATAGTAACTCAAGGAGAATCGACTGGGCTAGTCGCAAGCTGTCTATTTCTCTCTTCCAATAAACGTCTACCGTGTACTCGATCCCATGCTGCCTTCGCCTGGCATAGGATCAAAAACTCTTAGTCGGTCGTTTTGTAGTTTCAGTTTCGAAAAACTTCTACTCCTACTTGGTCTCAAAATATGTGTGACGCTTTTGTTACTAGACGGCACACTCGATTCGGTAGCTGTGGTACCAGCACACGATCTCTCGGTTATCCCTTTCCGCTGCTGGATTTGCGTAATTGTAATCTTAAGCGCCTCGTACAGTTGCTTGTTATCGCTAGCGTCGAGATCGACCCAGAACGAGTAAATGGGTAATCCCTGGTGGTTCATGTTTTTGAACCGGCGGAGGATGTACTGGCGAGCCGAACTCTCTGGATCAGACTCATTGCATACGTAATCTGGGAACACCTTTTCCAAAGGCGAGTATGGCATCTTCCCCATGAAGCGGTTGAAGTTGTTAAGAATGAGTATTATGGATGATTCGGCGAAAACTGGTTCGTTGACCCAGCTTTCAAAGGCTGCTAGCTCATTGAGTAAGAGGGATTCGCCTGCTCGTTGTGAATTGGGCTTATCGTATAGAGACATGTCCACTGCGTAGATGAGCGATGTAGCGCCTTCCAATTGGTGAAACCAGCGTTCGCGGAAATGCTGGGGAACATATCCTTTGATATTGAATAGGTGGACATCTAGCTCGTCCCAATTGAAGCGCAGTTCCTTGATACCGCGCATGGATTGGTTGAGTCGTATGATGTCTGCCTCGATGGGAATATAGTCTTCCTCAGCGATGCGTGGTATCTCCTGTGCAAAGTACGGAGCATACTGCGGAAATTCGATCTCGAAATTCTTGACATAGATCCTGGCAAACTCGGAGCAAGACCAGATCCTAGTAATGGCCTTGACAACTTCAGGTGTGAAGTTCTCCGTGCCCGCATCCAGTTCGTTCAGTAAGATAGCGAAGTCTGGATTAAGCTCAGCAGGGAGTATGACACCAGTGTCTTTCAACAAAGTGGTGATGGAGTGAATCAGCGCGTAAACAACTTGGTAGACTTGACAACGGTAATTCATGCGCTCCTCTGCGGAGTAATAACCCTCAGCGTATAGCACTTTTAGTTGATGCATGATGAGGTCTTTTCCACTGTTGACGCCGCCTAGAAGAACTAGTTTTGTCTCGTGTTGAAGACTATCAGCTGCTCTTTGCAACGCACGGTCTATCGCTTCAGATCGGTCCGCTGCTGCGTATTGTTCGTATTCTTCGTCAGTAGGTGAGATCGCGCCTTCAAGGTCACTGCGCGAAGGTTTGATATGTAAGATGACTCTGAGCCACTGGACGAAACGCGACAATTGTGTGAGGCCTGTGATACAGCTACCATTCCATCTTGAGGACTGTGAAAGGGTTCTGAGGTTTGCTGCATCTTCCTTTCTGATCTGGCGACTCTTGTGCAGCAGGATTTTGCGCTGTGCTTGAGCGGTACTATGTGGCGTTAGATCACCACATTGAGACAGTACTTCAGTCACTCACCAGTTGCATGCCGCAAGCAACAACGTCACAGCATCGCTTTGTCGCTGGGCAACTGTCTGCAGTCGGTCCATGGTCCTACTAGCAAGTTTGTACTTCATCTTTGCAGCGCAATCGACAGCCCCATGATCTGGATATCTAAGGCGCTCATTTAGGCAATCTGCATGTCGTACGAGTACTTCGCAAGAATGCGTCAGTAAATCCAAATCGGACAGTAGCTGCGGGTGCAGATCTTGAACGGCACAATTCAACCAGTCCTGGATGTTTCCGAGGTTGGATTTCAATGCCGTCAATTGGGCAATCAGATTCATCGCAGACGGGTTGCCATCTCTCCAGCGATTGTGAATCTGTCGTAAGCCGTCGATGTCCTTTCGTAGTCGATCTCGGAGTGTCCTGATGGCGCTAATTAGGGCAGAGACCCCTTTCTCGTCAGACATGTCTGTAGCGTCGCGTCGCGCGATTCTTGCTCGTGGATCAGACTGCGGTGGGCCGCATGAAAAGAAGAAACCTGACTGTTAGGAGTCGCTGCGATGGACGAGCAGCGCGCGAAACGCAACTCGAGACCGAGGTTGACACTTGCGGCTGGTTACCAACTGACAGGAACCGAAGCTCCTGGTCCGGTCCGTGGATTGCCTGCTGCTCCGAGAAGCACCGAGAAGATGCCGTGTGCGTGGGAAAGGCGATGAAGAGTGGCGATCCTCGACTATTGCGCAGCCAACAGCGCGTGCTGGGGATGATATGCTTCCAACATTAGAGACACGATCGAACACAGGCCTAGATCCCTTGTTGAGTTGTAGAGTGTGATGCGAACGGCAGAAGGGGCATGTGCATGCAGGGACGCGTTGATCGTTAGTCGTAGCGTGGCAACCATGGCGTCGTCAAGAAATGGCGGCTAAATCTGTTCGGCAATGTCAATACGACCAGCCTTGCTTGATTGCTGCATAGCTAATTCGTGAGTCACACTGCGCGCCTTATGCATTCTGAACAAGAGTCACATCACGTGTTGCCGTCCCTGCCAACGTGACTGACAGCTTCCTCTTCCGACGAGTCGACGTGTGGCTAGTGCAACGCCACGAAGCGAGAAATCTGTCGTCATCACCCCCGTCACTCACTTACTTTCTAAACCGCCAGCAAACATGATAGCTATAAAGTCCGTCATGTCAACTAACATTCTTAATCTTTCCTACCCCATAACATTTCTGCCTTAATACTCAGCGTCATCCTCGCGCTGAGAAAGGCGTTCCATACGCAATGACAACCCTCGATACCTTACCAAATGAGATTCTTTCGCTAGTCACAAACCATCTCGAACGGCCGCGAGACTTACTTTACCTTTCTTTAGCTAGTCAGCGCTTGAATGAGTTTGCAAAACTTGACGGATGGAAAGCCCTGCTCAAAGGACGATTTGGGCTCGGTGGGCTGGATACAGACGCTCGTAATTCCGTCCATGGCTTAACAACACTATGTCGGAACTGGGATCGCAAAGGTTTCGTCGCCAGATACATTGATCCCACTGAAAAAATCATGAGCATGAACACATGGCAGCCTGAGCGGTGGAGAGGCCCGCAGGGCCAAACCATGGGATACCAACCTAGAATTGACAGCTATGAAGAGATTTACGGAGCATGGGGGGAAAGAAGGGAAGTGCTTGCATGGTCTGCCGGCACACAGATTCTGCTCAGAACTAAAGAGACGGGCGCGAACATTGAAAAAATTAGAAGAAGAGAGGAAGGACTGGAGCAACCGTCTGATCAAACATGGGTTTATGATGCCTTTAAACACTTGAACACGTGGTTCACATACAAGATACCAGATAGCTTTGAAGGCCGAGACGACATCACAGATCTGAAGCTACTTCGACCACACCAGCGGGATCTGGCCAGCGAAGAAATGGTCTTTGGAACTGCGTCGGGCCAGCTATCGCTGCTCAGTGTAAGCCCTGATTTTGCCGAAACCCGTGTTCAAAACTACGATACAAACAGGCGGCGCGTCAACAGTATCTCGATATCTTCGTCAGGCATGCCAATGCTGGCTGCAGTACTCGCAGATTCATCACTCGCTATCTATCATATAAACCGCGACCGCTTCTCTGAGCATCCAATCGCGCCATCCTCGGAGGTCAAGAGAATCTCGAAAGACCCACCGTATGGTCGAATATGGTCTTGCGAGTTTTTGTCGGAAGATAGGGTTGTTATAGGATTAGGCCCTAACATAGCACCCATCGAGGTTTACCAGATTGGACCCGACGGACTACTCCCTCAGCCTCTTCGCAAGTTCAATATCACCGCCATTAATACAGCATCTCCGCGACCTAATTCGGTCTATCCCGTACTACCCATTCCGACCACAGCACAGGGTGGATCAGATGCAGGCAACACTTTCCTTTCTGGCGGTTACGATGGCATCATCAGACTGCACGACATGCGCTCACTAAAAGCCTGCGAACCCATGTTCTGGGACCCAACAAACGACTCACCAGTATACTCGCTCGCTGCCCAAGGTCTCGAACGCATAGTATCAGGAGTATCCATGCACAGCATGATCAAAGTGTTCGACATGCGCATCTCCGGTTCCCACGCATACCACACCATCGCCTCGCCAACCAAACCCAAAGCTCCAACCAAGTCCACCATTAACTCGACCAAAACACAAGCCTCAACCATCAGCGGCGGCTGGAATGTCTACCTCAACCCTCGCATCCCTCCACCCCGTAACGCCTACCGGCACGACTACTCCCGGGTCCGCGACGACTCCCCCGTCTACAGTCTCTCAATCCCATCACCCACATCACAAAACCTCTACGCCGGCCTCGAAGGCGTGCTTGAAGCCCTCACCTTTCACGGCATCGCAGACCAGCACCCCGACTCCATGCTCTCGAACTCCATCGTCTACTATGACGGTGACGCCAAGAAAATCGACCTGGCCGCTTCCTTCAACCCCAACCAAGACGTGCTCAATCTGGGAATGTACGAACAAGGCACCAAGGAGGGCCTGGGTATGCAGTTGTTGGTTCAAGGCGGTGTAGCGTCGCCGGCGATGGTTAGAGATAGGAAGAATGTGGCCGAGGGGAGGCATTTGGATGGAAATTGGTGGGATTTGAGAAAGGGGCCGAGGTGGAGTCGGGACCAACCTCCTCCACAGGCTCCGGGGGTGGTACTGAGAGGAGGGAGGAGAGGAGGAAGAGGAAGGAGGGGTAGAGGAGGAAGAGGAGGAAGAGGCGGAGGTGGAAGTACAGCTTAGTGTAGAGCTGAACGTTTTTTTTATTGGTTAAGATGCGTTGTTACTTACTCTCGTATCGTTTATGAATGTGGAGATTACAACGTCGTCGCCGTGCTAATAGTGTCTTTATTTAACGTACACAGTCTACATTAAGAAGGCAAAGGAAAACAAGAGCTGAGCTCTACTGTTTACAGCGAAAAAAGTATCTCGGACTGCTAGCTACGCACTCTTATCCATACTATCTATATTCGCGCTTAAGCTGAGCGCATACTCAATCCGCTTCTTTATTCCTCTCTTCCCTCCCATCTACCCACTCATCCGAAAACCCCAAGTTTAAATCCTCAGCTCTACTAACCCTATCTGCTCAACGTAACTGTTATACCAAGACAACCCTATAGCAAACTCGCTTATTCGCTCCTCCCTAGATAAACAGCACCCCTAGCCAGCATAGTGCGGGCGCCCTAACGATCACGCCACGCCGTTTATCTATCCCGTAACCCGTATACATCCCGCCCACCAGCCTCAGCTGAAAAGAAGAAAAAAAACTCTGCGATACTTGGACACGTCCATCCAAGAATCCAAGAACCCAAGAGCGATAGTCTACGGACCCACTTTCTCAGCTGAAACAGACATCGGGTTTAGCGCCATGAAGATTGGGGAATGTTAAACGGCGAACAGCGAAACGTTTTAAACGGCCAAGTTTGAGAAGCTTGGAAGGGTGGGTCTACGCAACGGTCTCGATTCCGCGTGGCTGAGCGCAGCCGTTAGCAATAGTCGCGTGGAGTCTTGATGCGCAAGCGACTGTAGTTTGAGCGGCAGTGTTGCCTGCCTTGCGTAGCTCAAGATGTTGACTAGAGGAAGTGCGCCTAGCATCGAGGAGAGCTGGCTGGCTGACTGACTGAAATATACACCGAAAAAGACGCCGGTGGAGCAGGCAGCAGCAGCAATGTAACAGAAACGGGTACGGTTACATGCCACAACAATCCGCTCGGCTCGAGCTCGAGAGTTTGCAGGTGGATGAAAGGATGGATGAAATACATCATAGACCCCCCCAATGCAGAAAGAGGGAGCACCACCGCCGTCGGTGGGGGGAAAGTCCAGAGTCAGCTGACGTCAGAACCAAATCAGAGTTGCCCAGCGCAGCGCAGCACCGCATCCATCCAGCTCCGTAGCGTACGTACGTAAAACGCTCTCATCGGTAGTAGAAGGAAACCGAACACGACGTCGCGTGCCGAAATGCCGAAACTCTATATCGTGTGGTTCGGGACGGCTTGTGGTCCAGTAAAAGTCTTGGTTCCAATCTGAGCATATGGGCAAAGTTAGACAGACCGCGTGGCCCCTCTTTCTCCCTACGTAAGCGAAGAACCTTGACACGGCGGATAGCCGTGATGCGGTGGTCGAACGTGACAATCCTTGCTTGGCGTAAGCTATGCGGGCTACCGCGGGCAGTGCAACGTGGAGACGAGGCCTCCTGGAAGGAGTAAGGTAACTATGTGGGAAGTGTGCTGGACAGCCAGCTGGCGATAAGTGAGATGGTGGCGTTAGATGGCGTAGGTGCGGCAGGTTCCAGCTGGATGTAACGATTGGCGGAAGCTTAACTTTCTATTCATTCATCAAGGTTTTGGTCTTGGTTGCTGCTTACTGTACTCGCTGATCTCGGTATGTGGGGAATTCTGCGCATAGGCTTGGCTGAGGCTGCTGGTCGAGCAAGCCATGGGCGTAGTTGATGGGTCTGTCTTCAGATGTAGACAGAGCGCTCAAAGAAAGTGGTTTCATGACCGATGAAATACTGCAAATTGTGTCAGCACACTCGCTGCTTACGCCCCGTGTACTGTCAGGTGAAGTGCAAACCTCAATGCGGTCCAGGGTGGTGTGCCTGATAGTAGGGCGAGGAGGTAGGCAAACTCACGTTAGGATTGTTGAGCTTCTGGTGTTGGAGCCCGTAGGAAGCGCCGTGATCATAGGCGGCAGTGTTGGCCAGGAATTGCTGGGTCTGGTGTGAAGGCGTATGCGCCCGCTCAAACACTGCTTGTGCTTGCGGGTGAACATATGGATACATTGGTGAGCGAGGTGCGGGCTGTGGAGTGTATTCTGGTGCTGGTGCCCATGTAGGTGTGTTGTTCCAGCCAACGCTTGCTGGTGTATGATGGGGGTAAATGGGCGCACTCCAATTTTGGGGATAGAGAGGATACGTTGGTGCCACCGTGGTGTTGTGTGTATTGAAAGTAGCGGTATTGGTTGCCAAGATAGGGTCCGGTGCAACTGTGCTGTTTGCGTGCACCGAACTGAAGTCACTGACGGACGGTGTAGGATAAGGTGACGAACTTGGTCCCGCGAACTCGTAGTCCGCTGAGATCGAGCGCGCGTAAACTTTGCGTGGCTCAGGTGAGAGCTCTGTTTCTTGCTGACCGTCCGAGTCGTCTTTGATCAACTGTTGGAGGTATTGTAGCTTTCGTTTGCGCTTCTCCCCTGTGTCAAGACGTATTAGAGGAGATTATAATGAGTGATTGCAGTCAAGTGTCAACTCACTATAGTTTCGTGAAGCTATTCTGTTCTGCTGCTTTCTTATCTCGCTGTTTACCTTCTTCGGCTTCTTCCTTGGTTCCTCGTCTTCCCCGACTACGTTGGATCTTTGGCCTGTGCTTGAGGGGGACTGTGACAAGAGCGTGGTAGCAAGGGGGTTCATGATGCTAGTAGATGTAGTCGGGAGCCGGGAAAATGCGATGGACATGATGGAGATGTTGGCAACCGCTTCCTTATGAGCCGCCGATCAGTTTCTCGATGTGAACGGGCAGGGTTACATTTGAGGAGAAACCGACCCCGGAATTTTTTCGCTAGCCGTAACCAGAGATCAGTATGGTTCTCTGCCGTGCTTTTCCTAGCTATTGCTGATTAAACACGACAAGAATAGCAACAAGTGCAATAGCGGCGGGGGCAACCAAGGCACGACTTAATCCTGCAGCTGTCGACCCTGAGCTTAGTTTTGCCGCAAAGCAACATAATGTGATCATCAAAAATCACAGCCCAGATGGCACTCCTCCTGTCTCTAAGCTGTTAGTCATGTTCGCGGGCCCTGTTTACACAGTAAATGCCAATGGCAATGTCGCGTAGCCACTATATCAGTCAACCATCCGCGGTTACTTATTTCTCGATTAGATGCACTAGATGATTAATGTTGGCAATCAACTGACAGATTTATCTGTCATGTCCGATCCGAGCTTAGTCCGTGATGAATGGATGGACACGTGAGCAGGCGGAGTAATGTGAGGTGACACTGAGGCTCTCGCCATCGGCTCGGCAGCCGCGAGGCGGCTCTCGTGGCCATGACGAAAGAAAGCATGCGTCAGATGAGACAGTACAATGGAAAGCGTGACTCATGCACAGCTTAGAACGATGCGAATCTGTTGAGCTGAATGGGGCTATGTCTGTGGCGGCCTGACGTCGTAAGGTGCTAGCCAATTGTAGCCGCAGCTAGATGATGCATAAGCAAGAAGGAACGCGTATCTCACCCCGCCTTTTGAACCACTGATGGAACTGATCTATGTTTAATTGCGTGGTTTCTATCGTGATACGGCATTCCACTCCGTCCTGTTACTCCCAGCTACCTTGGAATCAGACATTCAGACCGCCATCACCTCAGACATGCGCTTACGGTAAAGTACTGTGAGGTACTGCGAAAACAAAGTTTCTTGGTCTTTCTAGTCTGGGCGATATATGCTTCAAGGTCCAATAATACAATTTGATACGCCTGGCTGTTTCAAACACACCGCTCCTGTGTCTATTCCAGGTGGGTTATATCGAGAAAACATACGACGTACTGACGAAGCTCCTCAAACCTCTTCCGCTGTTCTTACGCAACTTTGACCGAGATTGGATGGAAAAAGCCATCATGGGTCGCTACCGTGCTGATTTCGCAGGCACAGTTTCCCCTTCTCAATGTGCCCAGAAGACCTGGACATCCTACAATGCAGACCAGGAATAGCTTGGAATAATCTTGGACATGTACAGATAGCCACAAAAGAGTCGCTTGCAGAGTCTTATAATAAAATGAAAACAGTCAGCCTACCCTGAATATCCATGTCCCTGGATCTTGCAGCAGAAGACATGATAGTTCAGAAAACAAGACTCACATAGTGAGGAGATTGCCGTGGAACACAGGAAATACTCAATGCTCAATACAAGGAGCGAGTCAAAGTGGACGAAGCCCAACATCACCCAACAGGAATATAACATCGGTCAAAGGATGACCCAAGGCAACACATATCCCATCAGCTATACCACATCTTCAGGGTCGCCTCTACGAGCTTACTGCACATCTCAAGCCGCGACACACTACTAGTGACGCTCAGGCATCTGATGTTGCCTTTTCAAGTAACTTGCCTGCCTAATGTCAGATTTAATGCCTCATTTCAGCCCAAGACAAAGTAACTCACCTCATCAAGCACAGCTTGTAGTCTTCCCTCTTCGGCAACAACTTTCTTAACCGTGTCGCTGACATTACCCTCCAACCCAACATTGCAGCCCCTAGGTAGCCACCTCAGTATATGGAAAGCATTGGCGTATACGCTCGTTGCGCCCGTCACTCTTCCATCATCTGGAAGACTAGCTTGTAGGATGATTTTGAATGTCTTGAGACCCCAACAGTAGCGTAAACCAAGGCGTACGAGATCTGCAAACCCATCGAGGATATCGTGGTGTGAGGGTATGGTAAGGACGACGTGTTTGATAAGGCTGCGGGAGCGCTGATGGAGTGTAGACAAGGTATGAATGCCGCTTGTCAGATTGAGAGTAAAGACATTGTCGCTATAGAGCACCTGGCGTGCTTCCTTGTATATCTGCTTGTCAAGCCTCAATATTTCCGGCACGATAGGGTCACTTAGTGGGTACCGTTCATATCCAGAGTTTTTGTGTCGCGTGAATTGGGGACCATGCGGGCGCGAAACCACAATACTCTGTTGCCACATCTGGTTCCCATCATATAGTTCATCACCCGGCAAGGCGCATACAAGCTCGTCAGGCTTCTCGGGGGCGCGGTCGGCATGCAGGCTGAGCGGCTCCTCACGCACGAGGGCCATGTGGTAGATGTGGACACGGAGTTCGGCAGGGAGTCGCATAAAGGGAAATGGCTTCTCTGACATGCTTTGGGTGTCAACAACAGGAGGAGGATTTGTGAGTTGTGACTCTGTCAAGGTGCTGCGTTCAGGCGTTAGGAGACCGCTTCGAGTGCAGGCAGTGGCGGGCCCGGCAACAGGAGGTTGGCCCTCGACTTTATCTTCGTTTGCTGAATGCTGCGTGCGCGACCTCTTAAGTACCGTGTCCTCAATCTGGCATACAGGCTCGTCTTCGTCACTTGTTTCGCCTTGCCGCTTCCTCTTGCCGAGCATTGCGCGTGGGACTCGGGGTTCCATCGTTTTGTATTCGGGTGCTATCCAATATTGTATGTTCGAATGTCGCGTTAGAACAGTAGCTGTTGCCGCAGTTTTGCCTGTCCGTTTGTGCGCAAACGTGACGCCGGTGGGTGCGGGCGACGCGTCGAGCCTGTGAAGTTTGCGTGATGTAAAATGGATAAAGGGTGAGGTTTAGCGACTCCGGACAGGGTTAAGGTCGACTCCAACTAGACAAGGCGCGTGGGTACCGATAGCAAAAATGTGTTTCGGCATAAACAAAAATGGTGTAAGGAGGGCACGAGCCGGAAACGGCGGGGGGACTTGGGTCCACGGGTTCCAAGTCGAGAGGTGGGCAAGTTGCGGGGTCAGACCATCGCAATAGCGCGTATGAATACCGGCTAGCACATCTGTCATCAGCCAATACACATGACAATTGCGTCACGTGTCGTCATGAACATTATTCATGTAGGTGATAGAAAAATTCCTGGTGCACCTAGGTGACATAGAATACTGGACAGTGTGGGTAAGCACTTAATAGACGTGTTTGGCGACTACAGTGGCTTTCTTACACTAGTATGTCCCGTATTTTATGACACCCGAGTGGGTGGAAGAGAACTACGTGATTCAGATAATCCGAGTTTCATGACGTGGCAATACGATGAAACATGTACTTGTGGGCACGAAATCTCATGACCGCTGATTGAGCAGTGTACATATATTGTGGACGGACCAGAGAACTTCGTAAAAAGAAGTCATTACATTTGGCAAGTGGGGCATACTCTCTATGGAAAACACCAAGCATCACGATACCAAATGACATGATCTTCGTCTGTTGAACAAGTGACATCGAACTGTATCTACAATAGCCGTCACAGACTCGCGTCTTGCATCTTTGCAATTCGCCTTGGTCGGGAAAGTAATAATAAGGGAATCAAAACGACTGCATACTCATCCACATCGTCCTCCACGCTCTACCCATCCACACTGACTTTGTGCCCATGAAGCCTTTGCCCAGACGGGGACGGACAAATGCAACAATCCTGGGCGGCCGGACGGCACTGGCTGCCTTATAAGTCTATTAAGTTGTTGCTACCAGGCTGTCGGTTTTGCTGCTGCTGTGGCTGCGCACCAAATGGATTGGCGCTGCCATAAGGATTGGCGCCGAAGTTGTTTGCTGGGCCTGTCTGGGCAGGCATAAGGCGGTTTTGCTGAGGCATCCCTGTAAACTGAGAGTTGAGGAAGGGATTGTTGCCTGTGGCATTTGCATTGACCCTGTTCAAGCCTGCACCAGCCGAGTTGACAAACGTTCCAGGTGCTGTATGCTGAGCGGGAATACGCATGTTTCCAACATTACCAAATGTATCCTGTCCCTCTCCTGTTGCGAGAAGCGCGTTAAGCCGAGCGGCGTTTGGATCCATCTCCTTCTTGGGCTGTTGTGGCTGCGCTGTCTGCTGCGGTGAAAAGGCCGTTGGGGTGTTGAAAGACGTGTTGCTGAACTGCGGCTGCGCTGTCTTCTGTTCGCTCAACGTGTTCAGCGTTGGTTGCGTGAAGGTCTGAGTGGGCTGTGGTCGGTTGAAAGACTGGGCGAACGGGTTATTGGAGCCCGTCGGCTGTGGCATCAGAGACTCCTGAGGCTTGTTGTTACTGGCCCACGGGTTATGGCTACCAGGCTGGAGTGCATTTTGGTCTGGCTGCTGCTGCTGCTGTTGCTGACCCATGTCCCCAAAACCTCCAAACTGACCATATGGGTTGTTGTTGAAGGCGGTCTGCTGGGGCTGCATGAATTGCTGGGGCTGTTGTTGCGGCTGGCCAAACTGGTCGAAGCCCGGTTGCTGCTGCTGGAAGCCACCGTAACCGCCAAATCCGTTCTGGAAGCCCGTCTGCTGAGGTTGCATTCCAGTAGGCTGAGAGTACGCGTTGTTGAGGAAACCGGTGTTTTGTGGCTGTTGCTGACTCTGGTCCACAAGGTTGCCAAACCAGTCCACCTGGCCTTGTTGCTGGTAGCCTTGGTTGTTGCCTGTGGGTTGGTATGCGGTTGGCTGCACGGTAGTCTCGCCGAATAGTAGGTCTGCGTTGGTCTGCTCGAGCTCCTTCCGGCGCAGCTCCTCCTCCTCCTTGCTCAGCTTGATGGCCTTTTCTAAGTCGTCGTCCGTCTCCTCGGCCCTTGACGTACGTTCCCGACGCTTCCTCTCTTCCTCTGCTTCGTTCTTGCTGGCCTCGAGCGCTAGCCTGAGCTCCAAGTCTTCTTCTTCGGTTCTGCGATTACGGCGCGGGTCGCCGTTTCGTGGATGCCTCCCATCGCCGTGATCCGGAACACGATGTCCGCCTCCAGGGTACTCTTCGATGCCCGTCACTCGCGACTTCCACGATTTCCTGTCGGCTCGCTCGGCGCGCAATCTTTCTTCGTCGAGGATGAGCGAAGTCAGCTCCTTGGCGGCCATGCGCACTGTACATACTTTAGCAACGTAAACTCTGGACGGGGTGAGATGCGCTTACCGTTTTGTCCGACGTCTCGGCCGTCTTCATCCGTATGCTGGAACTCGCGCAATGTCTTGATGATGTAGATGTTCTTGCGCGCCCATGTCACCACGAGCTCTGAGCCCTCGTGCAGACAGTAGTCAAGCACCTTGAGCGACTTGAGGACGTGACGCCAGTTCTTTCCTCGGTCGTTGAGTCGCTTGTCGAGCATGTCCATGACCTGGTAGAAGTCGGTCGAGCTGAGTAGCCGTTAGCTTGGCGTCTGCAGCGACGGGTTCCATCGTACCTATTGAAGGTGATCTGGGCGATTTCAGCCATGTCTGATCCCACAGGTCCCCATGGGTCGTTACTGGTCGCTGCAATTGTCAGTTGCGCGCTACGTGGAGCTCTCGGGGCAATCCCTACCATTGCGGACCTTGACTTCGACCTGGGAATAGCCCTTGGTCACGTTCTTGACCGATCTCGCGATTTTACTCATATTGGCGACGGGTCTGGAAGCTCCGTCTTTGTGGTGTCGTTGGGTCGGAGCTGGCGGCAGGCAAGGTCGCAAGAGGAGTGCTGCGGCTTGGGGGTGTTGCACTGGGCTAATGACGTTCCGCTTATCAGATGGCGCTCGAGCAATGTGCGGCGCAGCGATTCCTACCCGACTAAACGCCCAGTGATTGTGAGATGGGGTAGTGTGGCAGTGTGGGTTGTGGCAAGCCGGGGTAAAATGGACATGCAGGAGAGTCGTGGATAGACGTAATGCGAGGCTGGTGCGCTGATGACCACCTGCAGCACCAAGGGACAGGGCCGAGCGGCCGAATTCAAGGGTCAAAGCGCTACGACGTAATCCTGGGTAGGAACATAGTTGTGCATGTAAAATGGTTGAACGTGAACACGACAATAGTAAGCAACTCTGTCCTGTCCTGGCCTGGCCATTGCATTGACGTGGACTGTTCTGATACGCTTTAGACGTCTGCAATTGCAAATGCCACAATCCGGAGCTGCGACGAGCTGACGAAGCTTGAGTCCCCTGGGCAGCAATTCTAGGGTATATCAGGCAATGCTACCAGCACGCTGAGCCTAATCGAGCTGCCGATGGGCATAATCACGCCCCCTCAATGAAGTATAGCTGTACGATTCGCCATCAGTGTGCTACATCTATTCAAGTGGCCATCCATTGCGATGCAAGCCTTGGTCGCTGTCGTCCGTCGCACGGCATCTTTCTTTCCAGCTTCCACAAGCACAATCGATACTGTGTTTGTGTTGAGAACCGTACTTGAGACCCAATTGCATCATTGAAACCTTTCAAGGTTGAAGGCCTTACAGTCGATACCGGAATCACAGACATTGCTTTGGATCACTCTTCATTACTTGTAATAACATTTTCTTCGCTCTACTTGTGCAGAATAATTGATCTAAAAGCGGATATAAATCCTTCATTAAGTACCAGTCTAGAGTTGCCTGCAGGTGAAAAAAAATCAAGGCCAACGATGCCGGGACGCCCCTGCCGGTCTTTTGTGTAAGGCACGCCCAACGCCTACTGTCCCGCATTGAACTCCCAGCGGAAAACCGTATAGAAGTAAACCTTGGAAATGAGCCACCCGATAAAACCAAAATGGAAATGAGGAGAGACTCGCACAAAGGAAACGAACTAAGTTGAAAATACAAAATGGACTCTGAGCGCTCAAAACCCTCAGACCCGTGGAATCCGCCATGCTACACCTAGAGGCTAACAATAACACGCCAACCAGCAAGAAGATTTTTGAGACACAGGGGTATAAGTCCTGCTTGCCGAAAACACCAGTGTAAAGGACTCGCATGTATTAGTTTTACAGATGGAACTGACAACCCATGGTGCCGCCCTGCATCGAGATTGTCTCGCCAGGCTCGTAGCAAGCCATCTGACTCTGCATCCAGACCCGCCCAGGCATTGCATCTGATGGGATACTAGGATGTGTTTATAGACCTAATAGAGAACGTCTATTGGACGGCAGGAGCCCACATTTCGTTGCCCATCCTCTGTTGATTCGGGTTGTAATGATCTGGTTCGGTGCTGTTTGGGCGGCGGATGTTGTTGTGCTGGTAGTACATGCCGTTCTGAGCCTGGTACTGAGGCTCAGGGTAGACGTAACCATTGTCATTGGCCCCGGGAGATGGGAGCGCTTGTTGGCCAGGTGATTGCCAGCCCATGGTAGACATGTGCGGGCTTCCGTTGGCACTGGAGGTACCTCCAGACTGACCGTGGTTTGCAGACGCCGGTGGCTCAAGAATCGGGGGCGGGCCATACGCGCTGGGGTGAGATGTAATTGCCGGGCGAGAGCCGCTCACGTTGGATGCGTACGACTGTGCCGTAAGCGCAGGGGAGGCACGCGGGCTAGGCTGCGGCATCTCGTGGCGCATGTGAGGAGGGACGTTCATGCCGCCCATGTACGCGTAGTCGGAACCTTGACGGTGCAGACCAGGCATGCCGCCAGCAGGCATCCCGTTAGCGGGCGAGAGGGAGAGGGTGCGGTCGTTGGGGGACGGTGTTCCTAGCGGTGAAGCTGTCTCAGAGTAGTCACCGCCATCTGAGCGACCAGTCCTGCTGGACTGAGAAGCACGCGAAGCGAGAGCAGCAGCAGTGGCGGCGGCAGCTTCCTCAACAGTACCAGTGTGGTGGTTCTGGTGACGGGTCAAAGTGGTGCGACGCGTAAAAGTCTTCTGGCAATCGGCATATGGGCACTTGTACGGGCGCTTGCCAGAGTGAATGCGACGATGTCTGGCCAACGAACTGGAGTCGCTAAAGGGCTTGACGTTGTTAGCGGTTGAAAATTACAGATGGGATACAAAGAGCTTACCTTTCCACATCGCTCGCACATGTGAGGCTTCTCACCGGTGTGGACACGTTGGTGAACGGTCAGGGCGGAGCGCTGGATGAACTGCTTGCCGCAGTTGGGATAGTCGCATACGTGAGGGCGGATACCGCTGTGGATACGTTCTGCAGGCGGTGTCAGTGCATTGCTTTTGGTGTTGCGGTCCAAGCTTCCTTACCATGACGTGCAAGGTCACTGCGTCGCGCGAAGCCTTTACCACAAGTCGAGCATGCGAAAGCCTTGGGCGGACCCGTGTCAGACGCAGGGCGGCCACCGTTGTGCTGGTGGCCGACTTGAGCATCTGGCAATTGCTGTTGCTGGGCGTATGTGTGCTCTGGGGGAGTGGGAATGTAGTTGCTGTTGTTCAGCATGGGCATAGGGGCCTGCATTTGCGAGGGTGAAGGGTAACGCAGGCCGTTCATGTGCTGTTGGGGAATCGAAGGGTAGGAGGGGAGCTGTTGCTGCGGTTGCTGCGACGAGTAACGCGACGAGTCTGAAGGGTGAGGCGACACGCCACGTTCAGAGCCGTTCTCCGACTTGATGTGGCCGCCGTTGAGGTACGACGGCGGTGCGCCAAAGTGTTGTTGTTGCATTGCGTGTTGCATGGTGTAGGGGGCTCCGGTTCCTAGGGATGCTGTTAATCTCGCGTTCAGAATCGTGTCCAGCTCCATTCTTTCAAGAAGGGCGCTCCGCTAGGCGGCAGACGACAAGGGCACTAGAGGCCCGACGAGCAAAAGACGGGACGGTGCGCACCAGGTTTAGGTGGGAGCGGGCTTTTGGTTGGCCTCGCAGTCGCAGGCGCACTGTGATGATGGGATCGATCAACGACGCTGGAAAGGCAGTGGTGTTGGTGGTCCTTGTGGTAGGCGTCGAGAAGTCGATCAGACCGCGCTCAGGTCAATGCAGCGGTTGCACTAGATGGCGAGGTCAGTCTTGTGGGAGAACTGGCGTGGTGGCAACGAGCAGCTGGCAACAATAGAGGCAGTGGCGCGTAACAAATTTGACGGTCTGGCAGTAACGCTGGCCACGTCTGACGAGTCGAAAAGGGGAGTGGAGCGGTGAGAAGGGCCTAATACGGGAGTGCGCGGGATGCACGGGGCGAATGCAAAGCGTGGGTAGAGCAGTACGTACCTGAGATAGATATAGGCTGGTGGAAGGTCGGGGCAGGGGATGGCGGTGATGGGGGGACGTGGTGTTGGAAAGTACTGCAGGTACTTCTTTCCTCGATGCGCGTAGTTGCCCAGAAAGTTGAAATGACGCTAGAGCCAATAGGGTGGGAGGTGGATCCCTCGTAGCGCTAGTCAACAAAAAGGGACCACGATGTGCAGGCAGATGCGCCGACGTCAAAGCGCCCGGAAGCCTGCACCAGATGTTGTCTTGAGCCCGCGACTGATGGACAAGCCTATGCAGCCTGCCGTGGGAAGCGAGTGAAACGGCCAGCCAGAAGCAGTCTCACCGCACGAACGCTGTCTCTGCGCAAGTCGCAAGTCTCTGGCCTGGGCCGAGAAAGGAGCAGGGATGGCGGAGAGGGCCGAGGAAACCGCTGACCGCTGGCGGATTATTCTTTCTTGCACAAAGAGAGAGTCAAGGAGAGACCGGCAGAGTTGCTGGTACTGACTGGGTCCTGGTCCTGGTCCTTGTACGGTCCGGAAAGTTAACTCGGCAGGGGCAACACCGTGTCCGTTGGAATATGTAACGAGCCGGATGCGCGTGGTTGACCGACTAGTGACGTTGGTGACGTTCGACAAGGCTTTGGGCCGATGGGCTGATTAGATTGCTTTCGCCCAACAATATTGCATCCACCGTCTCCCTACAGGCCGGCAAAAGAAACGAGGGGGGTGTTAGAAGGGTTAGAAGGGGGGGTTGTTGTCCGCTGTTTCTCTTACTGTCAGTTCGGCTTCGGCTGACTGTGTGCATGGGAAATGGCGCGGCTTACCTGTCGCTGCGAGCTGGCCGTTGCTGTCTTCGGCAAGAATTGCTGGCGGGATCGCGGATCCAAATCTCTAGGTTCGTAGTGCGGTCTCTGGTGTCAGCGATCTGTAGATGCTAGATAGAAGGCAAGCATCCCTCCGACTGCATGGAGCAGGGCACGTTCAAATACACATCATCAGTGCACACTGCATCGCGACGCAGCCAACTGTGGAGCAGCCCTATCCTTGCGCTCATCTCGCGCTCGCGACACTACAGCTTCACCATTACCATTCGTGCTAGTATGCCGCTGCTAGCTGTCAAGGAGCTGGGGCAGTCCTGCGGCCATGTTTGAGGCGCATGTAGCGCCTCTTGTGCGTGCACAGATGAGGATCCACAACCCGGGCGGCGGCAGCACCTCCACCTGGGCAGCGCGCGACTTGGATCAATTGGCACCAACCAAAGGCGGCATCGCGACTTTGTTGCAATCATGTATGGTAAGTACGTACAGTAATGGCAACGGCCAGCAATCGAGGGGGGGGGGGGGGTGCCCTGCTCCCTGCTGCATGCCGCTCCAACTCCAATGCAATCGCAACACCACCACGCAGACGACTCAGCGGTTCCTGGAGGCATGCTGGGATCCGCAGCATGGACCGCATTTGGAAGGCTCATCGAAGGCCGCTAGAAGGTGCAGAGGCACGGTGCATAAAACCTGTCTGGGACGTGCAGCAGGCGACAACTCTGGGTGCCGGCAGCGGGCCCCAGCATAATGCGGGTTTGAGACATGAGCAAAAAGAAAAGCATAACCAACATGTGTTGAATAACCAACGTATTGGTTCTATACACACCGTGCTGTTGGCGTGCCATTGGCGAAGCTTGTCGTTTTTCCCTCGAGGGTTGCGAGCCGCCCCTCTCTCTGCCTTGTCAGACACGACAGGCCCCCCTGAGTGCCACGGAATCATTCACCTGCATTTGGCTCGCGAACGCCAGGCCTGTCGCCTGGGTACGCTGGCATCCTCCACGCTCCTCCACCACGTGCCCGCATTGGCAACACGCCAGGAACACCTGCGTGAGTTCGTCAAAGAGCGTGCCCTCGTCGACGACGAGCCCGCTGTCAGGCAGGCGAAGACACGCCCAATGGCAGCACCCATCACCATCTCCACCTTCTCCTGTCCATCGGCGCGCGTTCCCCCTTAGCAGATTCAGCCACGTTGAATCGGTCGGTCACGTGGCCTCCCACCGACATTTGTCTTCTACTCGCATTCTTGCGGTGAAGGAGGTCCCGCATATCTACAACTCTTTGAAGCCTGGCGCTCGGTATGCTTCCGCCAGATCCGTCTGTGCTCGCGCGTCTTCACTCAGGCCAAAGTATTTGCCGGACCCACTCCCAGCCTCATTGCGTTTCAATCACCTATCCACACACCCCTAAACAGTTGTGCACGACCAACTTGTCGGCACACGATGCCCTGCACTACTTTGGCTGCACACCAAGAAACCATAATCTCCAATTCCGGGGCGATCGGCATCCCGAAGCAGCTACCTTGTTTCTTCTTCCTCTTGAAGCTTCTTCTCCACAAACTGCATACAACCCTCACAGCCGATACAGACGTATACGCGTGTTTCATCGCTTCCAGAAGGCCTGCAATTCAAGGAGCTATTCTTGGTCTCCAGAAGCATGGGGCGCCTCAGAATTCCTTGCGCTTTGTGCCATCACACGCAGACCACTGGCCCAGCGGTTGCGGCCCCAGCTCCCTTGACCAACGTTCCGGCGCAAGGATGACTTGTCGCACCCCTGCAGCAAGCCTCACACACACCACCCGAGCGTTCTTCCAAGCAATTTCTAGAAGGCGAGTGCATTGGGCGTCTCACGGGGCGCTCTACTCGCCCACACCCTGTCTTTTCCAGAAGATTACCCCTTTCGCTGACTTTTCTCTCCGGACACGAGCTTGGAGATAACGGTGCCCAAGGTCCAGCATGCCGTCATCTCTGTTGGTGCATGCCTTCTATCCGCCTGTCAAGCAGCCAGATTTCACCCTAAAATGGCCTGATCCAGTCAAACTACGACGAATCACAGCTGTGTGGTGACGGCGGGAGCGCGTACAAATCCGACTCGCTTAGAGCCGCATGAAACTGATACGGACAGTGTTCAGAATTCGGCCCTAAGCGTGTCGTGTGCTCCTGACCGGCCCTGCTTTACTGACCGGTACTTACCCATCGCTCCGAGAGACGCGCCCTTTTAGCCGACAACTTAATTGTGCAGCTGGAATACTGGACGCGTGACGCTGTTGAGCCGCCGGGTCTATGGCCACGGAGGAATCTCCCAGTGTGACAGCGCGTGTTCAACTTCTGGCCTGATCTATACGTTGATCCGGGGACTTGGGTCCAGGTCAATGTCCCAGCCGCTGACGAGCATAGAGATTTGACGATCAATGCTTGCCGTTCCGCTGCGCGTTGCATACGGAGGTATGCGCGTCGTAGTACCAACCACGCCGCAGGAAGGTACGGAAACGCTGCAATGGCACCAGGTGTTCAGTGTGTGCTTATGTGATCAAAGGCACCCATTGACAGGGTAGATTTGATATACAGTAAGGATACGTGATAAATACGGTTCAGGGTCATGAGAACGCCGGGAGAAGAGTACAAAGAGAAGGAGAAGATTATTGATTCCCCACGCGTGCCCAACACGTAAGATTGCAAATTCCTCAAGTGACAACATCCTAGACCCTCGGTACACCACCGGTCCCAAACAATTCCATCTTCACCCGCTCACTTGGTACGCCATAGCTTCTCAACTTGGCCTCTACGTCGAGCATGAACTGCGTGGGCCCGCAGCAGTAGTACTGCGTCTTGCTGTTGTCCGTGTGTAGGTACTTGCTATCGATTTGTTCTAGATTCACGCGTCCCTTGATGGAATAGTTATGGCCCTGAATTTCCCCTTCGATTGGATTCGACGAGTAGTACACGGTATGCACATTCTCGTTGCTTCTCGCGCATTGGTCGAAATGCTTCTTGAAAGCACGCGTCTTTGAGTTGCGTGCACCTTGTATCCAGGTAATTGGTCGAGAGGTCTTCTGCTTTGTTAAGGAGTTGAAGATGGATGTCAGAGCAGTAAGGCCTACACCTGTCGATATCAGGACAACAGGTGTATCTTGGTCGACTTCGCTAGCATCGAAGAAGAAGTCGCCAAATGGATGGGACACTCTTACAACGTCCCCTTCATTCCTCACCTCATGCAGTAGGTTCGAGATATATCCCGCCTGTGTCATGTACTTCGGCTCTCCAACCTCAATTGCGGGTTCCCTCTTCACGCTGATTCTCAGATAACTCTTGCCTGGGGCATCACTCAAACTGTACTGTCGTGCCTGCCATACCCCACCATCCAGCTCGTCGACGAAGACGTTGACAGAGATATATTGACCCGGCTTGAACATGGGCAGTTTGAGGTTGGCATCAACAGGCTCTAGGTAGAAGGAAGTGATTTCTTCGCTCTCTTTCTCTTTCTTGACAATCGTAAAATTCTTCCAGTCTGGCCAATATGAAGTCTCTTTGTACAAATCGTCCTCTTTCGCAATCATGATATTGGCCAGTTGCCAGTATGCCGCACCCCATACTTCTAATATGTCTGGTGTCGCGGCATTGCCCAACACAGTGCTCATGGTCTCCAAGAGATGCTTGCCGACGATATCATACTGTTCAGGCCGGATGTACAAGCTGGCATGCTTATGGCAGATGAGCTCCACTGCTGGACTCAACTTTCCGAGGTCATCGATGTTGGCGGCATAAGCGTAGAGAGCTCCAGCGAGTGCTTGAGCTTGGTGTCCGGTCGCTTGATGAGTGTTGTTGAAGATATTTTGGAGTTCGGGATGTGCAGTGAGCATGTCCTCGTAGAATCTTGTCGTAATAGCTGCGCCATATTCGGCAAGCACGGGGACCGTAGATTTAATCGTCTGTACTTGAGAGGGAGTCAGAGCGCTCATGTTCAATGTGATATAGTGGTTTTTCGTTGTATTGTTTTGAGCGAGATTGGTTCACGGTTGTTGCAATACTACAATGAGTAGATATGTAAATCACTGATTATGCATATCCCCACCACCTGAAGAAACCTCTAGTTATATATCCCCCCAGCCAACATCTCTCACTCTCCCGACATACCGTCCATGTTCCTGAAAGATCCGCAATACTCTGCATCTCCGCGGTGATGTTTCCCAAACAACCTTCCAAGGCCCACCACCACCCGCATCAAGAGAAAGAAAATCGGAAATAAGTGGTCGTACGACCTACACACCAAGGCTGAACAACATGTTTCCCAAAGCCAGTAAAGCCCATGTACCTAGGTAGTCGCGCATAAGACGTTGATTACGTTACGGCCCACGTGGTTTGCGATGCGTTTCTCCGCTACTTCCGCAGTGTGTGCGTGCGACCGCTGCTGGGCGGAACACGGATGTCATTCAGGAACAAGCGCGAACCCCGCGGGATGGGCCCGTTGACGGGTAGCGTTTGGGATTTTCCCTTGCCAGAACCGATCCAAATGCCGCGTGCTACCATGTGCCCGTGCAGCGTGATGGTGACGTGATGTATGGGAATCGCGTGTTTCTGGTATCATGGCTTGTCAATGTGTATGTGATATGGGGCCACGACATCATATGATGTAAACTTCATCAAGGTTGATTACTTTTTTATGTTAACGTTATGCAAACTCTCTGAATAAGCAAAGTTGGCGTACTTTGGGTTGCTGAAATTAGATCAGCTGCTCGCGTTTGCTTTCTCGGTGACTAAGAGTCACGCCATTCAAGTAGTCAGCGGCGGTCGGAAATATTTGGTGTCGTTCGGCTTATCGGAATTTCCGGCTTCTTCCGATGGAACTCCGGGACTTACAGCTGCTGTCAGCATCATCGATCGATGCAACCACAACATCTGGCGCGGTACTAATTTCACCTTCGTCGTCGGAATCCCGCAGATCCAGGAAACAAAGCCTAAGCCTTTTTGGCGTCTGCTTCGCCAAGCCAGTGATCTGCTGCACGAGGTGCACGCTGACCATGGTAATGTTTCCGAGATTCTGGGCAGCTGCTGGCGCTCCGATTTTAGCACCAAAGCCAGGCTTCGAAAGCGCGTTTCAGAGTCATTTGGATCGGGGGGCCCGGTATTGCGGTAACTTCATTTCCTGGTATTCGGCACAAGTCGTGGAGCGAGTTGTTCAAACTAGTACGCACATCTCATACACACCGCTTTCACCACAAAAGCCTCGTGCATCTCAACATCAACAAGGCAATTGACGGCGGTGACTCAAGTTTGTGTGTGCGTGGGCCCTTGTTGCGTTGTAAAGTATGCCCGACAGACCTCGGGAAGTTTACTATTGAACAACACACAAAATGACTCTCCTCTTCGGGAGTCCGCGCTAGTAAGGTGTACCCCATGGGGCGTCTCGAGTCAAAAAACCACCGACATGACTCCTCATGCCGGCTGACTGTATCCAACACAGGGTGTACAGTTCAGATTAAAATCCATGTCCGTGGCTCGATGAAATCTCACACAAATCTCACACTAGGAGAATAATCACAGTTCTTGCAGCCATTACCCTTGAAACTGCGAAGAAAATATGAGCGACTGCTAGCGACCAGGGTAAGCCGAGATGATGAGCCCCCCTCCACCCCACATCACAAAGCATAGCACAAGATTACGATGGTGATAAAGATCAACACGAATTTTGCTGACCATGACACCAAAATAGCAGCAGCAGTTCCCCCCCTGCTGACCTCGACGCCCCCGTATTAAGGCTTTCACTTACGACCGCCCTAGCCGAAACCATCACTAAGTGCCGAATTTAAATGTGCCGACGACCGCATTCGTATAAACTGCCTCAGTTGTCTGGTCGCCAAATTTACGGCGGTCCGATGGCGGCTGCGAGACTGCAAATGTGCTGTGAAATTGGCTACTGTGCAGGTGTGTCTGCAAGAAATGTTCCTTGTGGAAGGTGAAAAGCCGCTGTTTCATATAAGGGGAAATGATCACGCGACTATGTAGCTCGAATTAGTCAAATACGATGGGGCACAGTATGCGGATTGGTTAATATTGCTTGGGGCCGAGTTTGGAGACGATCAAGTATGCTGGTGTGAAAGTTGAACTAAGGAAACCAGAGCACAATGTTGCTTTTATGCGGGTAATGACCAGGAAGCCGGAGACATGGTAGTAGAGAGGCGCGCTTTGAAAAATCGAATTGCTGGATAGTAGAGATTTTATAAGAAAACAAAAGCCGGTTGATCAAAAGTACAACATCAATAAAGTAAGAGGGTAATTGAAAAGGCAGGGGTTTCCAGCCAAAACAGCACATCAAGTTTTCATAGTTCATCTTTTGCAAACTCTTCCCACAACATCGGAAACTCGGTCTCTTCATTTTAGTATAATCAACAGACAAGACCGCAACTCGGTCATCGAAGGTCAGGCTGAGAATTTAGAACGCAGAAACACACTGGTAGAAAGGTAGAGTACTGCCTCCAGCAAAGAAGATATTTTTATAGCCCCCTTGGCCACCATCATGCCCCAGTCCATGAGCCTCTCCTCACTCAATATTGTGTGTCAAAGTGGTGTTTTGACACAACAAAACATTCCAAACATCGACCGGTTTCGCCGAATTTTTAGAAACGTACACCGCTCGACGACTCATTCACCTTCACCTTTGTCAATTTCATTTCGATATCCCAGAATTTTACAAAGCGGCAACATCCAGGTTCAATTCCATGAGTTTAATAGAAATACATCAAGTTTTAATAAGAGGACACGAACAGCGACATTTCATGGTTTACTCCAATCTTTTTTAATTAAGAAAGTTTATAAAACTGGGTGTGTGTACAAGTTGATTTTCAAATAGAAGAGGGGGGAACGGCGAGGATAAAACATACATGCCCAGCAGGAATTTTTGAATAAATGGCAGAAATTTCGTAGTAAGAGAAAGAAGGAAGAAGAGGATCCAGAGAGGAGGTATTTATACACAGACCCATAGAGCCCGCAACAACCTCATTTGACAACACGTAAATTGGTTTAGTTATGAGACCAGGCATTATGTTTTTATAGTTTGCTACTCGTTGCTGCCCATGGGCGTTGCCACGGGCTTTTTTTGTCTCGCCTCATACAGGCTCTAGAAGACCGTTTATTTATGTAAATTTTGGAACGGGGAAGGACTCACATATACAATAACGATGTGGCTTTAGTATCTCATATTTATGGAAACATTATCTTTTAGTAAGTTTTGAGTTTGTGAATAAAGGCAGAAGAGAGAAAGAGGGCGGTCTTTCATGCATCCACTCGAACGAGGTTTTAGAAACAGCAGAAGAACAAGGAAGCAAGGTCAATTACGTCAAGCTCGTGGATTTAGATATAGAGAGAGATTATGCAGGGGAACGCCATTCCATATAGTGAGTGTATTGGAACAAGGTCCCTCTAGTAGTATGACTACTATGGATAACCGAATGGGAGGAGGGACAAGGCGGGGTGGCTGCAACGTATTGTATTGACTATCGTGTTATTTGTCCTCCTCTCAGGCTGTTGTGGTGGATGCCATTGCCCACCGGGCAGTGCCTGCCACACCAGCACATCATGTGACCCCCAAGCACCTTCTACCTGGACTGAACCCAGATATTCTCAACAGAGTGTATGTTTTTAAAAACAGAGAAGAGCCAGGAGGAGAGATATGTTATCAAGCAAAGTGTTTTCATATATTTAGGGCAATATCTTCATATGTGAAGCTGCCATAAGGGAGTTTTTGTTTTCGAGGAAAGAGCTGTTGTGCGAAGAGGAGACATGAACGGGTCTGTTCCCGATTTGAGTAATCAAGTAGTAATTTTGTGAGAAGGATAGAGTGTGTAAAGAGTCGGGGAGAGGTGAATTTATACCCCAAGGGACCGCGCTAGCAGTAGAGATTTTAGTAAGAAGCGAAAAGAGGAATCATCGGGTTTCTTGTGCTACGTTATTACCAGGCTCTTCGTGGCATATGTGCTGTTTATTGTAGTAGAATGGTTGGTCTCCATCGTACCATTTCTGCACTTTTTCCAAGAGACACGGAACGCCCGAAGAGATATTTTTACGCACCCAAGTCCCAGAAATGCCCACATGAGTCATGACTGCGGCGTCTTTTATAGATAACACCTGGAATAGAACTCCAAAGAGACATGAACTTCGTAAACGCGATCTTTAAAAGAAGAAAGGAGAAAAAGTCATTCAATTGCTGTATGCTACTTTCGATAAATACCGAAAGCGCATACGTTCTCCACCAACACAGTATTTTTAGGTGCAGGAGAGGAGTTACATGCTCATTTTCTATTTCCATTTTAGTGAACACGCGGAAGCAGACACATGTCCAGTGGGCCAGCAATTTTAGAAGGAGGAGAAGGAAAGGGCATATTTCGTTCATAGTCTCATTTTAGGTAGAAGACGCAGAAGCGGACATATGTGTCAAGCTTCCGTAATTTTAGAGAAAGAGTAAAGGAGAGGTGCATAAGTGCCATTGGTACGCTATTTTAGAGGGACAGAGAAGAAAGAAGAAGGCAGAAGAAAGGATATTTGAAGTATGATGGGGTTTTTTCGCACATAGAGTTTTGGGTGAATATGAAGTATGTAAAGAAGAGAGAAGAGGAGGGAGGACGGCGTGTGGTATATATACACCAGAGAGGAGGCCAGTGCTTATGTCTAGGTGCCCTACCGATTCTTGAATTCGGGAATGTTAGGTGCTCCAGGCATTCGAGCACTAGGTACGCATTTCTGATCTCACGCCTCTCATGTAGTTGACTAGTTGACCCTTTAGGTCATACCAATAGTTTTTGGATGTATGTAAGAGTAAAAGTTAGACCGGTAAAAGTTTTTGAAAAGCCCGGAGACGCAGAGACAGTCCATGAGCTGGGGGCTTCTGGATTTTGAGTCGAACATTCGATCTCCGACTTCAGGTTTTCAATGTTTTAGATATTCAGAAAGGTCGTTCATCCCGGGGAGTTTTTGTAATTTTTGAGAAGCTAGCGTCCGCCTCGTATACTAAGTATCTCCACAACTTTCAGCAAAACATCGATTGCTGACGAGTATCTTTGAAGAAATTCCCAGGAACAGTGATTTTAGAAAGTACCGGAAAAGACGAGCGACCATCATCACGTTCGTATGGGGGGGGGGGGTTTGAGAAGACAGGGTAAAGAGAAAGCTCATCGGAACACGACGACGGCGTTTTTGAGAAGAAAGTGCAGAAGTTTGTAATTCTGTGAGAGAAAGAAAGAAAGATAGTAGGCAGGAGGGGTGTTTATATACCCACACAACGCCAAGCGCTAGGACAAAAAACCTCGCCCTTTACTTTTAGAAATCCGGAAGGCCGGCAGAAGACATCCAGCATTGGTAAATCGATTTCGAACACACATGCCGCAGCAGTGTCATTTTTATATGCAGCAAACCCGAGAAACCCCACAGTCCATAGTATTCTTCATCTTCTGTTTTTAATTCCGTATTTTGTAGAAACTCTCTCTCCTCTCTCATACACAAGCGGTCAGTCTTTTTTCAACTCCGCATTGTTTCGGAACTATCACTCTTTTTTTCACATACACAAACGGTCAGTCTTTTTGAATACCCAGATTGTTTAAAAGACTCGGCAGGGAAGACGCAGACAGATCATGTAGAACCCCTTTTATGGCTTTGGTCACACACCATACACTGTATTATCGGGGGGATGGCGCAGTGGTAAAGCGCCTAGTATTCCTTTACCGCACTCCAAATTTGCAGTGTAGTAGAGGTCGAAGGTTCGAATCCTTCTCCTCTCACCGCCACTTGTGGCTTTACCAAAAAATATCGAACGGCTTACTCCAACTCGCAAATTTTCACCTACCCCTGCAAACCTAAGCGACAGGTTATAGCCGCAGTACACCCGAGCCACGCACTGCTACGACTACAAACACTACGCTAAGCTTGTTACAACCCTACGCCTCGTTCAAGATCCCATGGCTTTTTCCCCTTTGAGGTTTTTTCAGACTTAGGAACACGAGGAAAGCGTTGCAAAAAGAGATAGGTTGAAGAGAAGGAAAAACAGGCAGCTATAATAGGGTTTTACTTTCTCTCCTCCCCTGTAATAGCTAGGACATGCCTAAACTACATTAGTCAAACATAACCAACGAACATCAAAGGAGAGATAAAAATAGCTAGAATGGCATCTGCCACCGTCCTACATAGTCTCTGACTGATAAAGGACGCTAATGGATTACATACATACATACATACACTGTATTATCTCGTTTTTCTGAAAAAAGGGAGGAGACGGACATATTTTGGGCTTCTTCAAGGTTTTTAGAAATAGAAGGAGGAAAGGTACTCAGTGGATTTTATAAATAGGAGGGAAAGAGAGGAGACGGACATCACGTCTGTGTTGGGGCGATTTTAGAAAAAGAAGGGAGAAAGTAGAGAAACGCATATGTCCTTGAATCGGTAGGTTTTAAGAATAGAAGGGAGGAAGCGCAGAAACAGACATCGAGCGCATACCCGTAGATTTTCAAAAATAGAGGGAAGAGAGTGCAGAACACAAACATTCATAGTGCCCACCCGATTTTTAATAAATAGTAGGAAGAAAGAGCAGAGACACACACATCACAGTTTCCCATGTGTTTTTGGAAATAAACAGGAAGAAAATGTGGTAAAGAAGAGACAGAGAAAGTCCACAGCAGGAGATATTTATACCCCAACGCCGGCGCTACCTTTCCTACATTCGTTAGTTCGCTGCTGATTTTTAATAAACTCTCTCAGCAGAAGCATGAGCTGTGTTCCTGTGTTGTTCGTTTTTTTCAATCAAGCGAAGCCGCCAGCTTCCAACTTGGCGGTTGATGGCAACGATCTTTTAAATTCTCTACAGCAACGACACATACACCCTCTACTCAGTATTTTTTGAAAAGAGGTCACCACACTATATCGCTGAATGGCTGTAATTTTAGAAGGGACAAAAGGGGAAAGGCAGTCAAACTCATCACAGACTTCTGCCTCTCGTTTTAGACTTATACCATAGATTTTAGAAATGTGGGTGATGAGAAGAGAGAAGGAGTAAAGGCGGACGTAGAGGGGTTTATATACATCTGCGCTGAGGCTTGTCACGTGTTCAGTGTCTCACATCCGCCATCTCCAAGTCCCGTATGTCTCAAAAATTTACATGCTTCAAAATACCATGAAGAGCGTCATGTATGCGCACTCACACATCACGTGCCCCTCCCGCTCCCCAGAGGTATATGAACCCCCCATTCTAGCCCTCTCCCTTCCTCTCTCTCTTCTAACACATTACTATCATAAACTTTCCATGCTTTCTCTAAAACTATAGGATTCTCAGATGATGTGGAGGAGAGACTTTCCCGCTTCCCAATCTTTTCTAAAAACGAACAATTTTCGGCTCGATGGAGTTCTGTCCCTTTCCAGCTTTCCTAAAACCAAGAATGGAAAATTTGCATGTTCCGCCACATACCTCCCCTTTTTAAAAATAATGTTGTTGTGTTGAAAACCCCGGTTAAAAATTAAGGAAAATGTCTGTATGTGACGGATTTTGAAAAAAAAATAAGATCAACAAATGTATGGTTCCGTTCCCGTGGGAGGTGCTCAAAAAACTACTAAAAGCGGTGATTCTACTTCGCATGTGTGCCACGTGAGACACCACCCTCTCCATCTACCAAAAACAGAAGAAAAGCGCGTCATGTGCTGTACGTGAGACACCCACACAACACATATATCATGCAATTCTTCGCGCGTTCATTTATAAAACACTGAGAAAGGAAAGATGAAGGTGAAATATGGGGCGAAGGTGCGGTCGGGCGGGAGATGGAAGTGGTATTTATACACCATGACTTCCACTCGGACAAGAATCATCTTCACCAGATATCACATGTCCAGCAAAGCCCACGGTCATGAAAAACAAGCAGTATGAACATAAGCGTACATTACATAGTTATCCTAAAACAGTTTTTTTCTGGTTGCATCTCCGAGTCCGTGATATCTTACATCTTACTTGGAAGAAACCCGTGCCTCGTGTTTTTCCCTTTCCTCATTGCCTTGCTAGTTTAGCGGTAGTCGTTGGCGTTGTACGTAGGCCTGTTGTTTTGGTATCCTCCTCCACCGCCACCACCACCACCACCACCACCGCCGCCGCGATATCCACCTCGTCCGCCTCTGCCGCCACGGCCACCTCTGTCGTCCCGTGGTGGGCGGTCGTTGTATGCGTTGTTGCCTTGGTATCCGCCGCCGCCACCACCTCCCCCACTTCGTCCAAGGATCTCATCAGCAGGGCGGTAGAACCGCTCATCCCTTAAGGAGCTGTTGTTGGGAGCTTGACGTGGTGGGGGTGCACCGTGATGCTGCGTGTTGCCCATCCAACCTCCCCGCTGTCCACCCTGGGGAGGGACAGGCGGGGGTCCGTAACCAGGAGCACTATGACCTTGCCAACCACCTAGGTTAGGTGGGGGTACCCATCCGGGGGGAGGTGGAGGGAAGAAGTTGCCGCCAGGAGGAGGAGCAAAATTGGCACCGGGGAATGGTGGTGGGAAGTTGTGTGGGGGTGGGGGACCGCCGTAACCTCCCTGGTTGCCATTGTATCCGCCACGGTTGTTATCCCAGCCACCACCACCAGCTCCACGGCCATTCTGGTAGCCTCCTCGACCTCCGCCGTTTTGGTTCTCGCGGCGATCGTTGTAGCCTCCACCTCCACCTCCTCGGCCACCACGGCCACGACCACGGAAACCACCGCGCTCATTGTTGCGGCGCACCGATTCGGCCTCGCCGGGTTGGAGAGCTGGCTTGGGGAGCTTGACGCCTTCGAGCAGGACAGACTTGTGGGCGCGGCTTGAGCTGATGCTTGGCATTTCGTAGTATACTCTGCATTGTTATTAGTAACGCACAAACACTTTCATTTCACAGGAACATACCTCATTGAACGGTCTTGGGTGATTTCAAAATCTGTTGTGCCGTCGGCGTCAAAAGGTGGCACAAGTTGACTGTCCATGACAAACAAATCATGCGGCTCAATGTCTCCATGGAGCGCACGACTCTTCGCAGGGTCGATCTTGTGCTTTTGTTGACCCTTGCGGTACAGTGCCTTTTCCACATCATCAAAGAGACCACTCTCTTGTGAGAACATGAGGGTCTCCTTTCCAAACTCGTTGCGCTTCCTCTCGTCGTCGGAAAGCTCTGGGTACTTGGTTGCCATGGCCTCCAGTAGTCGCTTTTCGTCGATGAAGGGCAGAACGGCAACACCCTGCCAGGCAAACTTCTTGCCGTTGAGATCGATGGGGAAGTCTTCAGGATAGAAGTCGACAATGGAGCTGTTGGGATCCTCCATGAGTACACGGAATGGCTCTGGGATGGCGTGGTTCGATGCGGCGGGCAAAACTCCCATCAATTGTTCATAAGGATGGAAGGGCACGCCTTTTTCAAACAGCTTACGGGGGTCCATGTCTTCGAGACCGACAAAGTCGGCGGCAAAAGGAGCGTAGTGGTGAGGGAAGTACCAAGTCCATGAGGGGCAGCCTTGCATATAGTAGGCCAACACCCAGCAGAGTCCCTCGGCGTACTGACGTGCGACCTTGTTGCGAAAAGCAATGTCGTTCGGCGCAACGTGAAACTTTTGCTCGTAGTAGCGCTCCTCATAACCATCTTCCCAAAGCATGATGGTGTCTTCTGGCGGACTATCGTCCTTCTTCGGAGGCTGAGCAGCCTGGGTCGGTGATTGAGGAACGACTGGGGTATTGCGGCCAGGTGTGCCGTTGTCGAGATCGTCCACCTCATCTAGCTTGCGCTTTCCAAGATGGACTGGTGTTTCCGTACCAGACGCAGATTCTGAAGCAGGCTCAGAGTCTGGTGTTGGCTCAGGCTCAGGCAGAGATGTGCCATCGGCCTTAGCCTTCAACATCTCCTTGAGGCGGGCTGCCGCGCTCTTGTTGGATTGACTATCACGAGAGTGCATAATGTCTTTGTGTACATCACGCACTTCCTTTGATTGCGCATCCTTGGGATCGAAGAACACGATACCTGCACTGGTGTAGGTGTCGGTAGTCTCCTTGGCGCGCTTGAACCCAGGCGCTGAAACGCCGTCGTTGTCTGTACGTTGACGCTTGTGCGCATTGCTCTGGGCTTCACGTCGAGCCCTATTTGCTGCCTGGCGATCGGCAACTTCCTTTCGCTTCTTGAAAATACCAGCCTCTCTGCTGGCAAGGGCGGACATGATTTGTTGTACACGGCGCATATCGGGGTAGCCGTCTTTGGTCACATAGTCATCCATCTCAGCAGCGAGATCGCGCCAGATGCTGATCAACAAGTCGATACCTTGATCTCGAATCTCAAGACTGGGCAAATGTGGCAGGAAATCGTTACCGACAAAGAAACACATAAAGACCCAGTCGTCGAGAGAGCGTTCTAAGTCATACTTGAATGTGCGTTTGGGCGTGTCCATTTCGACAGCCAGATACTCGCGCAGGACGTTGGTGTGCAACCAAATGTATGGTTTGAGTTGATGTTCAGATGTGGCCCACTCCTCAGCAGCTTCTTCTTCGGTAAGCTTCTTCTCGTCTTCGGGAAATTCACAGTTTGTTCGAATATGTCCTTTGCGGCCACAACGAGTGCAGACCTTGTCCTTGCCTGAGTCGTAGAAGACATCTTCTCGAAGGACTTTGAAATGGGGCTCATGGGTAGCAAGACTCAACATGATCAAGTCGGCGTCCAAGCCGTAGATGACGTGCGAAGTGTTGGGGTCATGTGTGGGCATAGCGCGCTGCGAGCGAATGAAGTTCATAATCTTGTGTTCTCCTTCACCAGGCACAGATGCATCAGAGATGATGACTTTCATGTCCTTCCACGAGGGGTCGGTTGTGAACTTGTAAGCACACCAGTATTGAAGACTCTCGGCAAGAAGATGCATGAAAGGTGTACCGGGTGTAATTGCATTCGAGTCCCAAGTCTTCTCCACGACCTCCTCAAGCGTGTTGATGTCTTCGCCGCGACTTGCTTTTTGTGAGTTGAGTATCTTCTGGAACTCTGCACGTTCCTCATCCTTCTCTTTGGCTTCACGAGCGGCACGGAAACGTCGCGATCGCTGTTGGTTCATCTTGGCACGTGGCGCAACACCGTCGACGGCCATGTAGAGCAGCTTGCGAGGGCGGACCATGCCGACAACGCGGTCAGTGTATTCAAAGATGGCCATCATCATATCAGCCTCAGTTTTGGGCGCAGGCTTGTCTTCAGGATGCGAACAAGGATGTACAATGCCGTTCATATCGAGATATAGGTTGTCGAACTCTTCGCCATTTGGGTTGGGTCCGGTACGATCTACGGGTATGACGGCATCGCCGACCTTTTTTGGCAATTCTTCTTGCACGGTAGATACGATCTTTGGGTATTTCTGGCTGAGCCAGCGGAACATGGCGGGGACACCCATGATGGCGGTAGGCGCTCAGTGGCGCGCGCTGTGTAGGGTGTAGGGTCGGGTAGCTCGAAAACGGAAGCGGAAGGACGTGTGATGGTGCTCTGGGACTTGTAGTAATATCGCGATGATGCTTTCAAAGATACAAAGACAACAACGGCGCTGTGACAGTTGATGCGCCGGTCAGAGAAAAGAGACTGCCTACGGGCAACAGATGGCGCTTCCTCCTCTTGCTTGCGCCTGCTGCGTTATTCAACGGCTGAGCGACGAGATTCAGCGTCGCAATCTCTTCCAGCGCGCCGTTAGCGAGTTGCACACGAAATCGATGGTGTTTGGTGAGAGAAGCAAGCTGGGACGAGCTGTGGAAACTTGAGCGACGCGCTCTTTGACAATCGCGGCCGACCATGTGGAGCCGGCGTTTAACCGAACAAACCCCTGTCAGAGCCGCAGTCCGTGCTCGGAATTATACGTGGAACTCTGGCTGGACAACTCAAGACTCTCTTTGGTCAGGAACGGGACACTGCGCATGCACCTGGAAAAGACACGCAACCTCAATGGGAGCTTGCTGTATATATCGCTGAGAACTCGGACCACGCCTGCCATGAAGTCATAGCCCACGAATTTCCAAGATGATGCGAGTTCTCGAGGCCAATGCGCCTCCCAAGCAGACAGCCACCGACACCATCAGCACCCTGAGTGGCAGACTGACGAGCGCAACCCTCCTCGAAGACCGCCGCGCTGCTATTCTCGGCCTCCGCAGCTTTGCAAAAGAATACCCAGCTTCGGTTGCATCTGGTGCTCTACGTGGGCTTATTGCTTCTCTCACGAAAGATGGAGAGGACGTGGACACGCTCAAGGTGGTGCTGGAGACACTGCTCATGCTCTTTCACCCAGACGAACAAAGTCCCGAAGCTTCAGAAGAAATAGAACTCTGGCTAGCAGATCAATTCTCACAAGTACGCGCCTCCCATTTTTATATCTGCTAGTGCTGAGCTTATGGTAGCGACAAGACAATATAACCCTCCTCGTCGACCTCCTAGAGAAGCCAGACTTCTACGCCCGTCTATACTCTTTGCAACTTATTCGCGCCATATCCCAAGCGCGACCCCAAAGAACCCAGGAATGCGTACTCACCGCGCCCGGAGGCATCGAACGCCTCGTAGATACCCTTGACGACCCCCGCGATGCCGTTCGCAACGAAGCCCTTGTCGTACTCACCGAATTGTCGCGAACATCTCCCGAACTACAGAAGCTCTTCGTCTTCGAGGATGCCTTTACTAAGGTCTTCAACATGATACATGCCGATGGCGGCCTCACACAGGGCGGTATGGTGGTGCAAGACTGTCTGAATCTATTGGCTGCCCTCATACGCTCCAATGTGTCGAATCAGACCAACATTAGGGAAATGGGACATGTTGCGCGGTTCGCGGCTCTCTTGCCAGGCGGCAAGAAACCGAAGAAGGCGCGCACGGCTGCAGAACAGGAAGATGACTGGGTCAGTCCGCAAAGTGACAAAAACATCTGGGGGCTGTTGGCCATTATGCGCATGTTCCTAGTCAAAGGAAACCCAGGCACACTGCAAAATCAGAATGTCTTCCAGCAGAACGGCCTCGTCCGTCAACTCCTGAACATCGCTTTTGATCCTGCCACAGCCATGCCCATCAAGATCGAGGCACTCAATACCTGTGCTGACCTAATTAGAGGCAACGCTCGTCTACAAGAAGGATTTGCCCAGGAACAGGTCAGGCCAATAGTTGAATCCGCCACAAACGGTCTTGTCTCTCCCAACAGTGTGGCCTCGGTATACGTTATCGAAGCGCTCCTCAATCTCGTCCTCTCCCCAGCCCCAAATGAACTCTTTGACTTGCGTAATGCTGGATGCGAGTGCATCAAAGCCTACTTCTACAACCATGTACAGATCCAAGAACATTTCCTGAACCGAGCCATAGGAGGCCATGAAGGTGGTGACGAAACAGCAAATGCTCTGACCATCCTCATGGGCGGACCACAAGTTCCTCCCACCGGCGACCCCTACAGAATCTGGTTCGCAGCCAATCTCATTTACCACCTCATCTTCGACGACTATCAAGCAAAGGAGACCTTGATGCAAGTCAAAGAAGGAGATGCCGAAAGCGGTGAAGAGGTCGTCACGTGCATACAGACTCTTACCGCAAATCTCATCGCAAGTCTACAACTCGGTGAGGATGAACGCATATCAATCGCATATCTTATGCTTTTGCTAGGCTGGCTGTTTGAGGATGCTGCCGCAGTAGATGACTTTCTGGCCGAGGCGAGTAGCTTGCAAAGTTTGGTACAGGCCGTTTTGACACCTGGCGAAGATCGAGTCTTGATTCGCGGTCTCTGTGCAGCACTACTGGGTGTTGTGTACGAGTTCTCAACAAGGGACTCACCTGTGCCACGACGGGAGCTTCAACCGGTTCTGACATCAAAGCTCGGCCGCGACAAGTACCTCGACGCTATCACGGGACTTCGACATCATCCGCTTGTGCGCGACTTTGAGGTCCTCCCACGTAACAGTGGCAGTGGTGGCAGCTTGCCTGATGTCTTTTTCGATGAAGCTTTCATTGATTTCCTCAAGGATAACTTTAGTCGCTTATCTCGAGCGATCGACCGCAATCCCAACATAGAACAGCATCATTCGCATGATGGTGTTGACCGGGATGTAGTTGATGCACTGCGCGGCGAAAGAGACGAGAAGGAGCAGACCATACAAGAGCTCAAGGCACAGTTGATGACCCTGGAACAGAAGATCGACCAGGAGCAGGCTGAGCATCGCAAAACTCAGCAATCAGCCGAAGAACAACGCAGCACACTCAAGCGTATCAACGATAAGCTACATGAGGATCTTGACAAAGAAGTCGCAAAAAGAGACCGCGAGTTCCGACAGGCCATGTTAGAGACGGAGAACAGATATAACCTACAGATCGTGGCACTCAACAACAAGGTCCAACAAGCGAGCAAAGATGCCAATCTTGCCGTCTCCAAGGTCCGGCAAGAATACGACGAACAGCTGCACGGTTCGAACAGGGCACGTGATGAGCTAGAGAAGCGACTGGCTGTTTCAGACAAAGCTCGTCAAGAGGCAGTGGCAACAATTCGTAGCCTAGAGGAAATGCTGCAACAAACGCGCATTGAAGTGGCTACCATTACGGAAACTCTAAGTAATGCACAGTCACATGTACAGAACAGCGAGGCGCAGCTGAAGCAGCTTCAAGAAGAAAAAGAATCACAGATACAACTACTCAGAGAAGAGAAGGAAGCGCAACTCAAGCAGTCCAAATTGGAGAAGGATAATCTCCAGTCGACCATCGACAAACTCAAAGAAGAGGTCCAAGAGCTCAAGACAAAAGCGCAAGACCAGATATGGAAGGTCAAGGACGCAGAAGAGAAGCTGCGCAAAGCCGAAGCGGCAGCAGTCACCAAGTCGGCCAAAGAAAAGGCAATCACGGATCTCCAGGAGAAGCTACGTAAAGCGGTTGAGAGCGAGAAGGAAAAGACTACTGAGCTTGAGGATTTGATTTTGGTACTCAGTGATCTTGAGGAGAAGAGGAGCAAGGACAAGGTATGTTGGTGTCGTCTATGTTATTGAAGCCCATGCTAACGTTTATAGGAACGTCTCAAAGCCCTTGGAGAAGAGGTCTCCGATGACGAGGATGAAGACGACGAAGATGATGAAGATGAAGAAGAAGAAGAAAATGACGATGAAGAGGAAGATGACAAGTAGGACATCGTTGCTCATACAGTCCTACCGTCGCCAGTGGTCAGCAAAGATCTGATGCCAATAAATATCACATGGCCAAATATCTCAAACAGCCAACATACGTCTATCCACTTCTTAATCCTACATATCAAAGCTACACTAAGTACCTATTGTGTCGACCAATATGGACCCTCCTCGCTCAAGCTCAGGAATGCAAAACCAACTCCCCATCTCGATCTCATTGTACTACCCACTATCCCACTTCCGTCATCTTCCCCACAACGTGCCAACCTCACATTCTTGTGCAACCTCCCTAACCGACATGCGTCCTCAACAAAGCCTACCTCTCGCGCTGAAAACGGCAACCATCACAACATCACGCAACAGCAAGCAGCGAAGAGCGCCCTGAACAAAGGACACAGAAAATGGTCGCAAGCAGTACTGCTGGATCCATCATGCTCGTCCATGCTTCAATGCGTAGTAGTGATACATATAGCCCAAGACAAGACCCCATTGACCCAAGCTCTTGAAGACAATTTGAGACAATTTCTCCCCTCCATCGAAGTGTTAGTTCTCGACCCAGTCACACTGCATCAATATGTTTCGAACTACCCTTTCCACCATTTTCCTCGCATTCCTCACCTCCTTCCCTCAGGTTGCCCGCGCCATACATGCAGAAGATGTGAGCTGGGCCGTCTCCATCCTAAGCGATCTTCCCGTTACGTTAGCAACGCCGTTTTGCGAGACTTTCGTCGCGTTGTATGCGCCTACAGGTGTTGGGGCTGGAGCGGGAGGAGCAGGTGGGGCTACAGTTACGGTTACAAGCACGGTTGCGCCGGAGTCTTGTGGGACGGTCGTATGTACTCTTTTTGAGATGTGAGATTGTATGATGGTACTGACGATTGCCCCTCAGACACCCACACCTACACCCCCTACCCCCGTAATTGTAACAACATACAGCACAACAACCATAACCTACATCACCACCTCTACATTTTTCGTCGCTCCAGCTGCATCAGTAACTGGTGGCTACAAGAAACGCGACACTTGGTGTCCCAACGAAGGCGTGCTCTGTAGACTAGCGCAGTACGATTATCCCACTATTTGCGAAGCTTGTGAAGGGTTCTTGGGAAACTCTGGAGCCGTAACTGTCACGGTTACCGCGACGGCGACGACATGTGGAGCTGCAGCTGGAACGGAGGCAACGGGTGGTTATGGAGGCGGGTATGGCACTGATTACGGAGATAGATATGGAGACGATGGATACGACATCGTGCCAGCGTTTGGAGATGATTGATACGACCAAGCACCCTACAACAGTGATGAGAATGGTGGATACTACTACTACGGGGACTATTAATTCTGTTTCCTCAAAAAGAAAAGCTTAGCTTAACATCACCCTTCTCTACTGATAATGATAATACCTAATCCCCTCACTCCTTCCCCCAACAATCCTTCAAAAACTCCTCCAAAATTCCCTCAAACCTACCCGAATCCTCCCAAAAAGGCGCATGTCCTAGCCCATCTAACTTGACACACTTGCCCCTCCAAAGCCTCCTCCACTTGATCTCATCTAAATACTCCAGGTTGACATACGGATCCAGACTCCCATTTACGACCGCAACAAGCGTATCCGTCTCCTCTACTACTCTTCTTTGATCCACACCCATGGGCCCCTGTCCCTGTCCCTGTGGCTGAGGCTGTTCCAGCCCCTCCGTGCCCAACAAACACCCCGCTAGCACCATCCTCGCCCTACCATCAGCCCTCCTCCCATCTTCTAGCATGAAACCTTCTACAGCCTCCTCTTTTCCGCCGGCCATACAGTACCGCGCCCATTCTGCGACTTGCTCGTCAGTCCAACCGCCTAACCCGGTAACACCTAACCCGTCTCCGTCGCTGCCTTCGAACCGGAAGGCTTGGTTTATTTGCTCCCGTCCTAACGCTAGTGCAGACCCTAGGAGCATTAAGCCCCGGATCTTTATATCTATCTCACCTCCTTCTCCCCCCTCATTCTTTTTCCCTTCTCCATCTTCTCCTATCCCCTTACCCCCCCGCGACAACAGCCCAACCATCTCCACTCCTACCATCCCACCTAACCCCCACCCCAGCACCACAACCTCCGTAACACGTAAATGCTGCAGTACATGTACGGCGAGGTCAGCGTAGCCGCGTGGACGATATGTATTCTGTGGATCGGGCGCGTTGGATGAGGAGCCGTGGCCGGGGAGGCAGAAGGTTATTAGGCGGTAGTGTTGCGTGAGTGTGGGGGAATCGAGGAGCGGGGTGAAGGGTTTGGAGGATGCGGAGGTGTCGTGGAGGAGGAGGATGGTTGGGGTGGTGGGAGAGGAGGGTTCGGTGGATATTATGCTTGTTAGGCCGTGAGGGGAGGAGAGGGTGAATGATGGCATGATTGACGTGGTTGGGAGAGAGATTTTTACGGCTAGCTGGTTTGAAGACGGGTTGCGTGTAGGGTTGGTTTTGTAGTGTGGTTGAGATGTGAAAGCAAACTGAGTATAGTAGGTACGCCTGTTGTGTTACAGATAACAACCGGTTCACCCGTACAAACTTGACTGAGTAACGGAGTGCGTTGCGTTGTGTCGTCCAAACCCAAGTACCCTTTTACTTCTACACAGCAAAAAGCAGGGAGTCATCCATACCGCGTCATCCCCATATAACCCCAATAAACCAGTTGACATGTATCTGACGTCGGCCGCATGCTCACCGCAGGGCACAAGCCACAAAGTGCAACCCTACCCAGAACAAGACGGCTGCGCCCAACCCAAAACATGTTCTAGAAATAACGTAGTTATGATAAACTTTGCCGCGCGTAGTGCGCGCCACCTCCTTGCAGCAGGATTGCGAAGTGAGGCCAAAGCAGGAATTAAGGGTGATCTGCATGGTTGGCTTCAGATTACGCTCGAGCATGCAGGGTCGACTAGCGGGGTAGGGGGCCGTTGGTATCCAATCAAGTGGTTGTGAGGGATGTCCCTGTTTATGGTCATGATGATGATAATGATGATGGCAGGCTAACTTAGGGGTTCTCTTCGATTGCGAAGTTGCTGTGTCGATGTAATCTTTTGAAGTCTTTTGGGTGTGGTAGTTTTGGGTGCCTTGTTGGGTCGACTGTACCATGGTACTAGAGTTGGCATGATGACTGCCTGGACGGAATAATTGAAGGAATCAAGTTTATTTCATATCGCCCCCAATCACAGGTCCGAGTGTCTTCATCAAGGTACTCAGTTGATTACCTAGGTAGGAGTCACAACGCCTTCTTCAACCCCTCCTGCCTCACAACCCAGGACCCATCCCTAGGAAACCCGGGCGTCTCATCCTCTCCACTCCCCTGCCAACCAACTACGCAATACGCAACCGCAAACAAGAATCCCGCATTTCCAGGCAAGAACGGCGGCGGAGTACCCCCATCACCACCGCGAATAGCAAACCCCGCGTCGTCAAACCTCCATGTATCAAACGCTGTCAAGTGGTATATCGCACGCTCTGGATTCCCTATTCGCGCATTATTGATGGCGAGGACGGGGCTGCCCCAGCCGCGGATCTTGTCATCACTCCATATCTCCCAGACTTTGTTCGCGGTGCGAAGGGCGACGGAGGGATCTACAGCGGGGGTTGGGGGCAGGATGCCTTGCATCATGATGAGGCTGCGGGGGTCGCTGGTGAGTTTTGAGTCATTCCACCAAGAGCTGTTGAGTCCTTCATAGACGGTATATAGGCCATCGTCTGCTCGAGGAGGTAGAGCTAGGTTCTGCGCGACGTGTGTCCATTTTTTAGGCACATATTGGTTGAGTCTGCGCTTCCATTGTGCGGCGGCGTCAAGACCGTAGCGCCAGTATGCTAGCTCGTATGCTAGGTTACGGGTAGAGTTTGGGGGAGTGTTTTCTGTGACGCCGTAGGTTGGGGGCCCGAGGTCGTACTTATTGGTTGTGGTGTTTAGGTTAGGGTAAGATGCCATGTAGTCGGCTGTAGCGGTCAGGACCTTATCCCACTTCTCTAGTGTATTCACCGTGGGATTTGCTGCATAAGCTAGGTTTGCGAGGTAAAAAGGATGCGGTTGTTGCCATATGAGCTGGGCGTTGACGTCGCCGGGCGAGCTAACACCGGTCCACGGGTCTGTCATCTTCGGCCATCGAGCCCCTTCCCACCCCATGTACTGCGCTCGAGCAAGTGAAGAGGGCAGAAGTGTCTCATAAAGTGCCGGGAAGACGTTGTCAAAGTACTTTTGCTTTCCCCATGTTGCCCAATGAGCGTTGTGCCAGATTACCATCTCCATATGAAACTTGCCATACCAACCATTGTTCATTAAACCGCTTTCCTGGGGTGACTGGCCTTCGGCTGCGCTGTTCACGCGGACGTGATACTGCGACTGGATGATGCGGCGCTGGAGTTCGGTAGCGTTGAGATCGGAGGATGCAGTCAGGTCTACAAAACCGCCCTCTTCCCAGTACTCGTTCCATGCTTGTATATTGGTTCCCATGACTTCGGCAGGGAGTTGGGGTACGTATTGGTCTGGTGAAAAGTGGGCGGTGAATGCCATCGAAGAAGATTCCGAGACAGTTCTCAAGGTGTACTGGTGTGCCGTGATGGCTGTTGATATTGGCGGCTCATTGCGAGTTAGCTTTAGTGGTATCTCCGTCGGCCATCGCAAATTTGCAAAGTACTGTAGTTCTTGTATCTCATGCCTGATATGCGCTGAGGTGCGGTCGGCACGATCTTCAGTGATTGTAGTGGTGTGGTTGAGCGGGAAGTCGTATACACCTACAAAGACCTATGAAGTATGTTATTATAAATTTGCAGTTCATCAAAACTGGAAAACTACCTCGTATTTATACTTGGTACTGTGAATGGGAGGATACGGAAAGTCCAACTCGACCTGCAAGTCTCCATTTCTAACCAATTCGGACGTAACAGTGAATGCCACAGCATCAGACTCAAAGTCACCTTGGGTAACGAGCTTCACGTCTTCCCCGTTTACCTTGAACGTGGATGTGATGGTACCGTTCCACAAATCCAGCTCTTGCTCCGACTCCGAGATCAAGGACTCATTGAGTGTACTTCCTTGGTACATGAGACCAATGCGACCCAGATTCACTCGGTTCGGGTTACTGATGAGCCATTGAGTTGCCTGCTTCAACTTAGGGTCCGGAATGTCATAATATACTTCTTTTCCATACGTCTCACGCATGACACCCTTGTATTGGGATGGTAGTTCACTAAATGCTTTAGCTACAACTGTAAAGTTCAGGTGATTGCATACCCGTTTGCCGGGAGCGAGTCGTTGTGCCAGGCCCAGCTTGATAATGTGTTGAACGGCAAGTATGTCTGTAGTGACTGGTAAACGCCTGTACCGCACATGAAGCTGGTCAACTAACCTGCATGCCAGTGGTATCAACATTATAGGCAAAGTTTCCATTACCAACTTGAAGAGGAGTTGTCTCGTTATCGATGAGATTGGCTCTTATGATATTATACCTCGATACCACCGATTTCCTAATGATGTCAGAGCCTAAGATGAGAGAGTGGGTTTCAAAATCACCTGTCTATCTTGCTGTGCACCGGTGTAGTCAACACTAGCGCGTAGCATATGTGAACAACCAAAGAAAGCATTTTGCTTGTATCTTGTTGCAAAGGTGCAGCAGGAACTCGTGAGTGTTCCCATAACCTATGTTGTTCCCGCGGGGCGCATCAATCCGGGGTAGAGTACACCGAGAAGGATCTCCGGGGCTATCATGGTTGATGTTCGGTTAGATGCTTCCCCGCCTTCTGCAAGGCTTGACCAATACCTTTTCTTGGTACCATATATGACATGGCATACTCGTGGCCGTCTGTAGGTAAGGCTGGTGAAGCATTCATTTGGAACTTTCAAAGTTGCGTTAGGACTTTACATAGCACGTCATGCAGAGGTTACCTAGGTAGAAAGACGTATTGCGCCAACGCAATCACTGTAACAGAAATGAGAAAACAAACTGCATGAAAATACGATGTACTGTTTGCATTAATGCTGCAAAGTGATGGGTGGAGGATAGGAAAGTGTCCACGTGCTATGATGTAATGGGTCGTCAAGGGACGCCCAATCGGCCCGTCAATAGCAATCGTCGACTACGCAACAACCATCTCACAATATCTTACTAAGTATTCTCGCTCATTCCGTCGATGGGGCTCTCGAGTTTTCTATCACATAGTCTGGGACAACACATGCTAAGAAATACAGAGTTCATCTTAGTATCCGCTGATATCGATTGACGCCGTTGGCGCGCCTGCTTATTTCTTCACAAACGCGAGCTGAACAGAATACCCGTGTTAAAAGAGAAGACACCTACAATGAATCCTGAGGCACATTAGGGGCAAAAACGAGAGGCCGCAAAAACCAAATTATCCCGTCACGACTTCCCGATATTGCTGGTTAACTTAGTCGGCTTTTCACCCTACACACTGCATACACGACAAAATTGCGCGTAAGGCCTAGAACAAGCTCGGACCGCAATCATTCAGCCCAAGAAGATGATACGAAAGATTAACTGTTGCCTCAGAAAATAAGCGATCCGGGACTTCCGATCTCATGTTCGCGCCCGTAATGGCCATTGCATAGGAAATAACAAAAAAGGAATGTTTGACGAAGGCTGACTCCGTATTCGCTTCAACTAAGACTATCAGTAACCACTTGGGTCTGGCAGAAGTTTGTGGCAGTCAATACCCATGTTCGTAAGTGGAAAGAAGCTACTCTGCTCTTGATATTCGCTCATGCTTCATTTAATGCTAACTAATTTCATACCGACTTTATCATTGTTTAAACGGAGATCGTGGAAGAGTTCTTAATCAACGATAAGCAATCCGGTAGTTGTATTCACATCTTTGAACCACTTGACAACGCAGATAATCCTTGCAATCTGCTAGTATCCAAATCATAAGCACACATCTCATATTGATTGGCAACGGCCAGAGTCTTTCCGTGATTCGAATATGTTCGAACAACGGCCCGGGTGTACGTAACGGTGTAGCTACTTTTCACGTGCCTTCTAATCCATAATCCTATCTTCAACTGAGTCAGGGGCGATATTTCTTTTTATTCCGTTCTCGGAGTGCTTGGTATCAAGCGGAAGGTCGCCATGATCCCCCGCAACAAGGTTCTCAGCCGTAGCGAGCGGCTGAAGCGGATCCCCTCACATCATTGCTAGCCATGGAGACATGCTTAGAGGCTCCACATCGGACCGTTCCATAGATACCTCTCATCACATAGACAAATTCCCGAACTTCCGATATGTTTGGCTTGCGACTTCTTTCTGTGGATAGGACGAATAACGCATGAATTGATCAGCTGGGCGACAGATTTCCATGTCTCCGCCACATGATACACAAACAACGGACTTGGACACATTCTCAGATCTTGGCGAGGAGGCCTGGCGGAAGTAGGGGCAAGCCATTCAACCTATGGACGTCTCCCGAACCTTGTGCACAAACATTAGATGCCGTGGAGGCTTCTTTCCGTTCCTAATGGTTTGGCGGGAGAGCATCCATCGCGCAAGCAGTTGCGCATTGATAGGGACCTCCACATTGTGTTGTAACCGGTGGCGGCTTACAATTAGCCATATCTGTAATTAGAGAAGAGGCCGAAGTATTAAGATGCTAAACCAACGAGTCTATTTCAAGAAGGTATGTCCATGCGTCGTACTGTGTCCGTGCGCGTAATGCAACACGACCTGTAATGCAACACCCCCACCATAAGTTGACCTTCACCGCAACCACCCATAACTCCACCAATATGACTTCAGTTTTGGACGCGATGGCCGCAATCGATGCGTTGTAGCCAGGGGAACCTTTTAGCTACCGTCAAATTGCAAAAAAGTTCGGTGTTGTGCCATCTACGTTGATCAGGAGGCACAAGGGGCTTACGCAACCCCGCTCTGCTGCCCATCAACTCCTTCACCCACTACAAGAAAAGTACCTTGTGGAGTATATCCAGGGGCTTACTAAGCGTCGCCTGCCTCCTACAAGACAAATGGTTAAGAATTTTGCAGCCTCAATTGCTCAAAAAGGAGTGGGCGATAGGTGGGTATCCGGATTTCTCCGGAGAAACTCCAACAAAGTCATCTTAAAATGGCAAAGGCCTATGAATCGCAAACGCCATAAAGCCGATTCAGGGGCAAAGATTAAGGAGTATTTCGACCTCCTTCACGGCAAACAAGAGGAGCACCGGGTAAAAGCAAAAAACACTTATAACATGGACGAAAAGGGGTTTGCTATAGGTGCCGGCGGCAGGTCAAAAAGGATATTTGACAAACGCCTGTACCAGCAAAAGGAGGTGACTACAGCTATCAATGACGGAGCACGTGAATGGATAAGCACTATAATCTGTATTTGTGCCGATGGGACGGCATTGCCGCCAAGCCTCATCTTTAGGAGTAGCTCAGGGGACCTCCAGTCAGTTTGGGTGGATAAGATTGATGAAGGAGAACATCAGGCCTTTGTGACGGCATCCGAATGTGGCTGGTCGAGCGACGAGATAGGGCTGAGCTGGCTCAAACAGGTGTTTGAGCCATTCACCCGGCCAAAGGATCCCTATGCTCCCCGGTTACTCATCAAGGATGGGCACGGATCTCATATAACTCCGGAGTTTTTGGAGTTTTGCAATCAACACCGGATTCTCCTGACTATCTTTCCTCCTCATTCAACCCATCGGCTTCAACCCCTAGACGTTGTAGTGTTTAAGTCTCTTTCATCAGCCTATCAAAAAGAGCTAGCCTTATTCACTCAAAACTCCCTAGGAGTCTCCAAAATCCAAAAAGGAGACTTCTTCAGTCTTTTCATCGAGCCTTCGTATCCACGATGACCCCTGAACTTATCAAAAAGGCCTTCACCGCCACCGGCATCTGTCCACCTGATCCGACGCCTGTACTCAAAAAATTCAAGCCAGCCACCCCTGAGGTGTCCAGTTCGGATGAGGACTCAACTTCACCCCTCAGCGAGTTGGACTAGGTCAAAATCTATTCACTGATACGCCATATAAGTAGAGGTGAAAGGAGTAGGGTAGTGAGGAGACTTAACAAAACCCTCCATCAGCTTGTTGTTGAAAACAGGCTCCTCCGCAATGAGATAAAGGGTCTCACAGAGGAGCTGTGTAGGAGAGGTGAAAGGCAAAAAAGCTACCCCTTGAAACGCCGAGAACATCTAGATACTCCTCATGGAGGAGCTGTTTTCTGGTCGCCAAGGAAGCTTCGGCAGGCCCGGGAGCAATGGGCTGAAAAACAACAAAAAAGAGACCAGGAGAAACTCCAAAAAACTCGGATATCTGAGTTGAGAGAGCAGGCAAGGCTGTACAAGTTGAAAGTAACTCAGGAGAAGCGAGCTGCACGAGAGGCAGCCAAGGAGGTAAGGATGAAGGAGAAGGCTGAGAAGGAGGCCGAACGCGCCCGCAAAAAACTCAACAACAACACCAAAAAACCTATCCGACAGTCCCAAAACGGTAAGCGCAAGGCATCAAAAGTTAATAACAATCGCAATAAGGGTCAAAAACGCGTTGTAGATAGTGTTGTTGATGAGGGAGAGGCCTCAGGAGCTGCACCGGCCTCACCGCCGAGAGTGACCCGGCACGGCCGGAACATCAAACTTCCGGCCAAATATAAGTAGCTTAAAGTAATCAGGGGCATCAATATACTACTACTCTGTGAAATCTCGCGATAATAGCTATTGTGGGTGGCTGTACAGCCTCATTTTTGGGTGGGTGATTGTGAAGTTTGGTGTTGCATTACAGGTCGTGTTGCATTACGCGCACGGACACAGTATCGGCAGATAACCTTCATGGCGAAATCCGGGTCGGAACATCGGAACAATATTGCACCGACATTGACGATACGATGACGTTCATAGCGTAAACGCGTATGCTGGTTTCAGTGCGTACACGAATGCATTTGTTCTGAATATCACTCGAGTGGGCCGTTACGTGTGCAGTACCTGGTACTGCGGCTTCGGAAACCTTGGAAGAACAAGGCGGCGTGGCGGCTAACAACCCCTACCTTCCCCACCCTCCCGTGTCAAAAAGTAGAGACAACCACAACTTCAACCACTTGTGATGCAAAAGCAGTGGGTCGTGCCTCGGTAACTTAACGGACTTATCGAAGCAGTGAACAGTACTGCCGATCTTTAATTTACCCCGCAGGCCTCTTCTTTCCCGAAGCAGCATGTCATGTCCTGTCAGCAGGCTTCGGCCCTAGCAACAACCATGCGCAAGGCTTGCTATCACGAGACGCGTTACAGAGGGCAGGCCCTTGGGGCTAGTAAAGATGGCAGGTCCGTCTTGACTCTACCACTAATTCGAACCAAGATTTTGTGATGGATGTGATGGATGTGATGGGTGCCATGGATGTGGCTTAAGAGGCATGGGCAAAGGTGTGACACGCGACGGCGGGCCGGGTACGATAAGAACGGTGACATTGTTTTAGCTCATGCTTCTTGGAATCCTTTGAACATACCTAATCCCTTACCCTTATTCAATGATCCGCCCCTCCCAACGCGTCGGCGTTACCTTTGTGATTGTCAACCTCCAAGCACCGTTACGAACACCGGAACGCGTAGGCGGGCGGACGGTCGCTCTATAAGAGAACGAAAACCTTGGCAAACCACTCCCAAAAATCTGGACAGGCGACTTGTTCTTAGTGAAGGACCCGGTCCGGATTCGGAACAAGTTGCTTCCAGATCACCAAACCCACTGCAACCACCGTAACAGGTCTATAATGGACGGACTATCACACACGCAAACACGAGACCCTATGCTCAAAAATGCCGCGGGGTTTTCCAAGGAGGATGAAATAGTCTCGCCAGTCTCCGGGTCGAGAAGGACGGCCTACGACATCGATGGCATCGTCGAAATGGACGAAGATGTCGAGGCACGTGAGGTATCGAAATGGAAGATGGCAAGCTTTGGGCGAAGAGGAAGAAACCAGAGAAGTAATAGTACTACGGGATTCAAGGTTTACAAGAGACGATGGATAGGCCTGGCGCAAATCGTGCTGCTGAATATTGTTGCGAGTTGGGATGTCAGTTCATCTTGTTTCTTTTTGCTTTTTTTTGAGGTGGTGGGAAAAGACAATGTTTAGAAACATGTTAGGCGCGACAGCTAGAAAGCTGCTGGAAACGTTAGGCTTGGCTTGTTGCAAGGCAGGATCCCAAGCGTAAGAAACTCCTAGCTAACAATACTTATAGTGGTTAACATTCGCGCCCATCTCTTCAGACGCGGCAATCTATTTGGGTGTCACGGAAACGGACATCAACTGGCTATCCACCGCCTTCCTCTTCGCCTTTGCTGTAACATGTCCTGTGACAATCTATCTCCTACATCGAGGTCCCAAACCCTCTCTTATTGCTGGTTCAGTGCTCATTTTACTGGGAAACTGGATTCGATATGCAGGTACCCAGATTGAAGGAGGGAAATTCTCCGTCGTCATGGTGGGCCAGATTCTATGCGGATTGTCACAGCCTTTTGTACTAGCTGCGCCGACGAGATACAGTGATTTGTGGTTCACGACAAAGGGACGTATAGGAGCGACGGCAGTGGCCAGTATGGCAAGCCCAGTCGGGGGTGCTGTAAGTTCTTACTCCTTCACCTATACATGATTCGCTACCAACCAGGAACTGACAAAACATCAAGGTCGCATCCCTCGTCAATCCTGCCCTAGGTGATACCGACCAAGTAGTCCTCATCGTAGCCATCATCGCAACAGCCGCCTGTCTCCCCTCGGCCTTCATCCCAGCAAGTCCCCCAACCCCACCTGCCGCCTCATCCACAATCTCAAAAACCCCTGTCCTCACCTCCCTCCGTGTAATGTTCCGCTCGCCACCCTTCTACCTCGCCTTCATCACATTCAGCGCCTATGTCGGCCTCTTCAACGCCTTCTCCTCGCTGCTGAACCAAATCTTCTACCCTTATGGGTACACGGAAGATGAAGCTGGTCTCTGCGGCGCAGTATTCATCATTGTCGGCCTCGTCGCCTGCGCAATTATTAGTCCCATCATCGACCGCACGCACGCCTATCTCTTCGGCGTCAAGCTCTTCGTACCTGTCATTGTAGCCGCATACATTGCCATTATTTTCGCCCCGCAAACACGCACAATCGTAATGCCATATGTATTCAGCGGCCTATTAGGCGCCGCCTCCTTTTCCTTACTACCTGTGGCCCTTGAATACTTGGTCGAAATCACTTTCCCAGCTAGTCCAGAAATCAGCTCTACCATCTGCTGGCTAGGCGGGCAGGTCCTGGGTGGCATCTTTATCCTCATCATGGATGCGCTCAAGGACGGCAGACCTGTGGATTTGGAAGCAGTGCGGGATGCGGGGAGGAATAATGCGACGGGTGGTGATAAGCCGCCTGGACACATGTTGTGGGGCTTGGTCTTTCAGGGGGCGGTTGCGCTTGCTGTTTTGCCCCTGCCTATGGCGTTGGGGGTTAGGAGGTTGGGTATGCAGACTACAGAGGGCAGGTTGAATAAAGATAGGACTGCGGAGGGGGTTTTGGTGGGGCAGGTGCCGGATAGGGATTTGGAACGTTGATGGTGTTTTGGATTTTGGGTATTTAATGACGATTATGATGGTTTCCTATGAGGATGGGTTCATTGGGTTTTTAGAGGGTTGAGGGTTTTCGCGAAACGACTACTGCGATTAACATGACAGGACTGGCTTCCTGGACTGTTTCCCAATTTCTTGCGACGATCCTTATGAAGCCTTTCAGCATACGATGATGTTAGTCAGTTAGCTGACCATTCATTTGGTCATACAAGCACATCTGATTTACTTCAACAACACAGCTGGAAGATAGAAGTACAGTGATATTCTAAACATGACTTATGATATTTACAGTCATCCATAATGCCTTGATCATTCCATGCATCCCGAATGGCCGCCCACGCACACACAATCATCTGGTATATGAAAGAAGAAGTGGGGTCGTGGGCGGATCGGTCTGGCCATCTCTGGTAACGTTTACTTGAGCTGAGCGAAGAGCTTGGGCGCGGCGCATTGGGATGCGCAGTGAGCAAGGTGGAAAACTGGAGATGGATCAGGAGAGCTGTATACGGTGATTTGAGGTGTCTTAGTGTGGTAGACGTACATTCTTCAACGCAGTCCTCCTTAGCCTTGCCATCGTTCTCAATCTGGCCTGTTACCCGTTGGGCGCACTCGTCGTAGTGGTGCTTGGGGCCGTGGCATTCCTTGGATTCGGCGCACTCTGTGACGTAGTGTTAGCCACGATTGCTGGTGTATACGACGTAGATGGCGTCCGTGATGGGGTAGTGGCCCTCGACTGTTCATATCTCCGATCTGAGGTCTACCCTCTAGCCAATTGGCCGTCCTAAAGCCGGAAATCTACATCTTCTGGGATAACTCACCCTTCTCAAGCGTTTCCTTTGGGTCTGGCGACTCCTCCTCTTCCTCTTCCTCCTCGGGCTCCTCCTCATCGTCATCGCCCTTCATCGAGCCCGTGGGCTTGTGTCCTTGCTCGCCCGAGTCACCGCCCTTGGCCGCATCCTGCTTGTTGACTTCGGCCTCTTCGCTGCTCTCCTCGTCGGTGCCGGAAGCGGGTGACTGGGTGCTGCTGCCACCTTGGACGGGCGGTTGGTCGGCGTCGGCGGCGGGGTTGGCAAACGTCTCCCAGACGTCGGTGAAGAAGTCGGTAATACCCATTGTGAATGCTCCGGGGCAATTGGGGGTCCTCGAGGTGGGATGCGGGTGGTGCTGAGGGTTGGTGATGATATGGGCAGAGCTTCGAAGTGTTCCCGGCATCGCGAAAATGGACGACGCACGGACCATGATTCTCTGATTAGCGGCGTCATTGGAATTGTGAGCATCCTCAGTGGTTTCTCACATGCAGTGACAACTTTTCGACGAGTCGCTTCATATTCTTTTCAAAGGGTTGAATTGGGTTGAATAGTAATCGCAGTTAATTACGATGCTTTCGGAAAGCTTCTTCTACACTGACACCCCGCCCGACGTCTGCAGTAACCTTCTCATCAGCCTCTACAAGCTTCGGCAGCAACTCTAGTAGTTCGTCCACCTTTCCCTGCGGCACCGCGACGATGCCGTTCTCGAAAGGGTCTATCATGATTATATCACCCGCTTCGACTACCGTCTCCCCGATTGTCACAGGCACATTGCGTGCGTGAAACTTTGTCTCGGCTCCTGCCCCGATAATAGACGTCGCTTTGGACCAGATGGGTAGCTTGGTGTGATTTAGAGCAGTTATATCCCTCACCCGACCGTCGACCACGATGCCTTCGGCGCCTAGGTGCTGCATGCGAGCAGCCATGATACCTCCGACAACGGCGCATGATTGACCGGCTGGCTGGCTAATGACGACAATGGTACCATTCTCCGTATAGTCTGCATATGGCCTCGAGTCTGTGAGATTGGAGGATGGGATACCAGCAGGCATCTGCGAAGGGTTCGGGAAAGACTTTGTGGCTTTTGGAATCATGAGAAAGGTCGATGCAGGCGCAAGGACCTTTCTTGGTTCTGGCTTCGGGAAACTCGCTGTGTGAAGCAGTGGTCCTATATATATATGTTAATAGGATATAAATTGCATGAATTAGAAGGTGAGTCCCACTGATGTCTGCGAGGAAGCCTGCGCCTGGGACATGAAGCTTGAGTAGACCATCCGCAAGCTGTATAGTTAGTCTAGTCAATGGAGTGCATTAGATTGGCCTACATCACATGCTGCATATTGGTATAATTTCTTCCATCTTGGAGACGCCATGATTGTGTGTTAGACTGTGCGATTCATATAGAGATTCCATGTAGTCGGACAATTGCTACGGGCGTTGAGGCTCACTAACCCCGCAGCCGAGGTGCATGCGCTCGGAACTCCAGGTTTATTTATGATAGTTGCGAACTGTCAAATACAACGTAGAGTCCTAAACCGTTCGCAATAGAAATATTCATACATCTCCTAGTATCCCTCACGATTCCTGGCGCTAAGAAGTCGTTTTCTACGCCACAACGTCCCCTACGAGCATCAATCCAAGCATCATGTCACCCCCGCGGTGAAGGTAAGACCGTTCAACTCTCAATAACATGTACTCTACATTGCAACTCATTAGGAACATGCTTATGTCAACCAGGACATCTGGACAATCTATACTGTCAGGTGTCGAGCCAAGGCAAAATGGGTGGACGATGTTATGCAAGGGTCTTCGGGTCGACGATCGATAAGCACTGGCCCATTCTGCCACTTTCCATCAATAGACCTAACAACGAACGCCCAGTGGCCTCTTGCTGTCACAACTGCGCAACCGCCCGCGGTCATTATTTATTTTCTTCCATCTGGTACTTGATATAAACTTTGCGGCCTCTGCCGCTAGATAGTACCCGTATGGCCCTCCACGCGGCCGGCGCCGTTCAGGTACGTTTTGCCACGAAGCCGACATCGCGTCATTGAATCCATACTTATAAAGATACAGAACGTCGCGTCTGTCACCACCGAATTGTGGCCCACCATGTCCACTGTACTGCGATCCCCGTGGCAAGGTCTGGGGCGAAAGCCCTTGGCCGCCGGTATTAGGCAGCTTCACACTACAAAGGCATCTGAGTCGTCGTCGTCGACATCAGGAGCGCATGTACGCAATATCTGCCTGTTCCCCTCTATGTAAATACTGATGAGTTATAGGCACGCCCGTCTTTTGTCCTGCCTGCGCAAACCTCCATCCGCTTCACTCGGTCTTCGCAAACTTTCATATCGTCTCCCACCGTCTCTGACTCAGTCTTTGCCGGTCAGTTGCATCAGACGTCAATAGTGGACAACAAGCTGATACTGTGTAGCATCGCGACTCGGATTATGCAATCCTTTCGGTACGACTTCGCCCTTGGCCACCCTCAAGGCACGCCACTACTCCACCGTCTCTCGCAATGGCCCTCTCTCGCATTTCCGCCCGCTGTCAAGGCCTGGAACGGTTGGTCTGAATCTGCTACAACAACGCTCGCTCTTCGGTGGACCATCGCATGAACAACTCGCTCGGCTCGAAGAGGCTGCCAACAGGAACCCGAAAAGCGCATCGTCCCAGGCTACTTTCTACTCTGCTCTTATGCGCGCCGGCATGCCGCACATTGTCGCCAATCGCTACACTCTCGGAAACTATGCCACAAATGCAGCAGTCGATAAAATCTACAACAACGCTCTCGCCGAGCTGGCACGACAGGGTAATGAACAGCAACAACAGCAACAAGGACTTTCCCCGCAACAACGCCAGGCCGTCGCTCAAGCTGTCGGTGCAAACTCTGGTTCTGCGCAAATCGGAATGGCTCGAAGCGGTAGTGGTGCCAAGAGTGACCCCGTCTACGTCGTTGTGGAAGAGTCTCTCATGAACGTCATTTTCAAGTGGGTTCGATGGTTCTGCGGTTTCGCTCTGGCTGCCTACGTCTCTCTCATTCTTATCACACTCTTCGTGGAGACTAGCGGTGTCCTGAAAAAGGTCGGCGGTGGCACCAGCGCTGAGGTCCGTCCCGAACAGCAGACTACCCGCTTCAGTGATGTGCACGGTTGCGACGAGGCCAAGGAAGAACTTCTAGACGTTGTTGACTTTCTCAAGAACCCGGAAAAGTACAACAAGCTCGGTGGGAGGTTGCCCAAGGGTGTCCTTCTAGTCGGTCCTCCTGGTACTGGTAAAACTCTGCTCGCTCGTGCTTGTGCGGGAGAAGCTGGTGTTCCATTCTTCTACATGTCGGGCTCAGAATTCGACGAAGTCTACGTCGGTGTTGGAGCCAAGCGTGTGCGCGAACTCTTCACAGCTGCTCGTTCCAAGGCCCCTGCTATTGTCTTCATTGACGAACTTGATGCTGTAGGCGGAAAGCGTAAATCGCGCGATGCCAACTACCACCGTCAAACGCTCAACCAGCTGCTCAACGATCTCGACGGCTTCGACCAAAGCACTGGTGTTATCTTCATTGCTGCAACCAATCATCCCGAACTCCTAGACCAAGCTCTGCTCCGCCCTGGGCGTTTTGACCGTCACGTCCAAGTCGAGCTTCCAGACGTCACTGGTCGATTGGCTATTCTCAAGTATCACACTAAGAAGATTCGTCTTTCTCCTGATATCGACCTTTCGTCTATCGCTCGTGGCACACCTGGATTCTCCGGTGCCGAGTTGGAAAACTTGGCCAACTCAGCAGCTATCCGCGCTTCTAAACTCCAGGCAAAGTTTGTTTCGCTCAACGATATGGAGTGGGCAAAGGATAAGATCACCATGGGTTCCGAGAAGAAGACTCGCGTCGTTCCGCTCCAGGACAAAATTCACACTGCCTACCATGAGGGTGGCCACGCGCTAGTCGGTCTCTTCACCAAGGGCTTCAACGATGTACACAAAGCGACTATCCTTCCTCGAGGCCACGCTGCCGGAATAACCTTCTTCCTTCCCCAAGAGGAGCATCACCACACTCGTAAACAATACGTTCGTCAACTGCAGGTCTGCATGGGTGGCAAGATGGCAGAAGAGATTGTATTCGGTTCGGATAACGTAGCCGATGGTGCTTCCGGTGACATTCAGCAAGCCACGTCTATCGCTTACAACATGGTCACAGCCTGCGGCTTTTCAGACAAGCTCGGCAACGTCGACTTCAAGTCCAACTACGAAATGGTCTCACCTGAGACCAAGCGTCTCATCGATGACGAAGTACGCCGGTTAATCGACGAAGCAAAGTCCAGCGCAAGACAACTTTTGGTTTCGAAGCGTCCGGAACTCGACCGATTAGCAGACGCCCTCGTCCAGTACGAAACACTAGACAAGGAAGAGATATTGAAGGTCATCAAGGGGGAGGATCTCCCTGGCCGCATGAAGTCGATGCCAAATGCGCCAATCAAGATTCCAGACAATCCGCTCCCCACGGCCATATTACCTCCCCCAAGAGGTGACGGTGGCGATGGGTCAGGCCCACCGGGTCCGCCTCTGCCAGCATAGTTTTTTTGGTGGATTTGGATTTGAACAATATGCACTGTAAATTCAAAATCAACATGCATTTGGGAGATAGATAGCGCTCCCTACGATCCATCGCGCTCTCCTCACCGAAGGGGACTTGTTTTTATTTATTGGGTCTGTACAATATTGCGTATGACAATAGCTTTAGCGAGAAAAGAGATGCAAAAGCTTCTGCATGAGGTTTTATAGCATCACTGCATTGATGAGGGGGAAAGAGGTGGCGGAGGTGGACTGCAGGGGAGGGATGGAAGCTAGACTGATTGATGAAAACGAGATGAATAGCAGAAGTTTAAACAATCAAACATGTTAAGCTAAATATTTTTCATCATCCCCTCCCTGTGGTTTTCATAGGCATTATTGCTGAACAATTTTACGTGCTTATAGCTAGCCATGATTTCGTTTTTATTTCGCCATGTAGTTGCTCAATTGCGGTCTTTACAACGTTCTCAGTCATCATGTTTGGCTCTAAGTATTTTCGACAGCACATAAAGAGCCCGTATCCTCTTTTCGAACTTTTTCTTTTTCTGAAAGTGTTGGGACATGCGCGTACAGCCAGCCCGGCGTGGATGTATTTTAGATAGCGAGCTTTTCCGGGCTGGAAGTTTGGACCACTAGTTACCGGTAGACCAAGCTTCCCGCTTAGCTCGCACCCGTACATAGGGAGATCTCTCCACCCAGCTCTTGCTCACTACTAATCAAATATGCATATACTTTGTTCGTTGCAACGACAGTGATATTCGATACCTTTGCCGTGTCAACAGAAAGCCTTTTATTTTCTAGTATCTCACACAGCCCCCCATCGACCTTCTGGTACCATTATTTGCATGACCCTCTTTTCTGCAATATTTTTTTAGTAGACCAGGGACGCAACATAGATGTCTGCAGTTCTGTTTTTTAAAAATCAGAAGAGAAAATCACATTGTATGAATCCCGCTATGTTTTTTCCTATATTTTCTTATACAAAGAAAAGGGAGGCGCGTAGACATGGGGACAGACTGGGAGAATTTTTGAAAATTGCAGATAGAAAGTTGGTGGAATTGTGGGAAGAAGGAAGGAGGAAGAAAGAAGAGTGGAGGTATTTATATACCCCGCGTTCTTTTTAATTGCGCAGGGCTGGGTCAGACAAGCCATCGAACTAGTTCACTGCAGGTTTTGGTAGTAAGAATAAGTAGGAGAAGTGTGTCGGAAAGAGAAAGAGGAAAGAGAGGGAGGAGGGGGTTTTTATATACACCCGCGTTCTGCTAAGTTGCGCCAGGCTGGTCGGACGAGCCATGGCAGCGGTCATTCGATTTTTTAGTAGTAAGAATATGTATGTGAGGAGCGCGTCATCCAGGTTTTCGTTGTACGTTTAGAGAAACACATTTCTTGCTTCGAAGTCATTTTTACGAGAGCAGAGGCGGTGGTCTCATGTACTAGTATCCCTTGGGTTTTTTGGGACTTTTTAGAGGGCTAGAAAGATGAGAGACATTCGGGAAGTCGTAGTATGGTTTTGGTGGAAAGGGCTGGGGGAAAC